GGTTGGTGGGGGTTGGTGGGGGGTTGGTGGGGGCCCGTTCAAAGGTTACTGGTTCTTTTTCCTTTGTATGAAAAACCGTTTGTGACACCTCTCACTTCTCAACATTTTTCTAAATGCCAAATGTAATTTAAATATCTAGAGACATATTAACCACTAAATACAAGTTCAATACTGTAATAAATCCCCAAATTACAATAGCACAGACAGATGTCAATAAACTATTGCTGAAGTCTTTATATCCCTTGATTCTAAATCTCTCATTATCATCACTGTCACCGTTATCGTTACCATTTTCATTATCAACATTCCGACGCAGTGGAGTTTGTGAATCATCGGATGCTGAAGAGACACTCAAATCAGAAGGTTTATCCACCAAATTTTTCTTTGTTTTCATACTGCTACTTTGATGTAGTTGTGGGTACTTATATGATACCAAACTGTTATCACTCATTAATCTCCCACTTTCATCTGCATACTTGTTTTGTAGCTGGCGATGGTGATCTTCCTCGTCATCATCCTCCTCTTCCCAGCCAGCACATGGATGGGAGTTGCGTAAATCCTGGAGTCGTATAGCTGAATCTGAAGTTGTATATCTCTTGGTACCACCAGGACTAGAACTGAAACAAATATCCTCAACCTCCTCATCTGCATCATATAAAATATCAATATCTTCCTCGCCGTCTCTAACAAATATAGGCACTCTCATTGTTTTTTTGTCGCATGTAAACCAAATCAAGGGGGCACTAACAATTGGCAAGAGCATTGAAAGCACAACTTGACTTGCATTTAGTGTCTTGGCCAAACCTTCTCTTCCCGCAAATGTAACTGTAAAGAGGCATGGAACAATGGCTAGTCCACGAGTGACCAATCTTCTTGCAACAGGAGGCAAACTCCAAGATAGGAAACCTTCGGACACCATTTGACCAGCTAATGTGCATACAACACCCGCACTTTGACCGGAACACAACAACGCCAAAGCAAATACAAACCCAGCTGTAGGTGACAAGTGTTTGGATAACAAATGATAAATGGTGAATAAATCTGCATTTTCATAATCGTCGTCAGAATCGTCATCTGTGTCATGATCGATATCATGGTGGTCATCATTGTCCCTCGGCGAGCCCATCTTTGAACTGTTCAATGTAGCACCTGCAACTATCAAAATTGCGGAATTAACAAATAATGCAACTGTAAATAATGAAATAACCAATTCAATAATAGTATATGACATGGTATCTTTAATAGCGTGAATTGATGGTCTATAATGGTCTTCTTCTTCTTCCTCTTCCTCTTCATTAGCTCTCAAAGTGATATCATCCCCACAGTCACCATTAGCGTTACTGTTACTACTACCACTACTACCACTACCCCTACCACTACTACCACTACCACTTTCGAAAGCAGGATTTGGCGCTATTGTTGGCATAGTCAATGGTGTTTCAATATTATCCACATCAGTTACTGTAATCTCACTAGGTATTGATATCTCCGATTTATTCAGCTCACTACTCCACGGTACAAAATACCCATGCTTAATATCGAAATCCTTAAGTCTAGCCTGGACTAAACCAGAGCCCAAATATAATGAATGAGGCATGACTGTTGCACCCAATATAGCCAAACTCAAGAATAATCCACTACCACCTTCTCGTTCAGACATATCCACTACATCTTCATTTGGTAAAAACCCTCTAAACACTTCTGCAATGGAAAAGTTTATTGACTTATCATGACTAACTTGATACAATTGAATACCGAAACAAACCACGGTAGCAGCAACTAAGATTGAAACAAAAGATTCAAAGATGCGGATAAAAAATAGAGGTCCCTTTGGTCTATAAGCACTCAAAACAATTAACACATCTATAACTGTAATAATTACGCCCAAGAATAAAGGAATATTGAACAAAATATTCAATGCAATTGCTGTTCCAATAACTTCAGCTAAATCAGTCGCTATAATCGCTATTTCTGTCATGATATATAACACGATATTGACTTTATATGAAAAATGTGCTTTACAATTGGCTGCTAGGTCTAATCCAGTAACTGCACCTAGTTTCGCAGCTAGTGTCTGTAGAAAAATGGCTAGACAATTTGATAAAAAGATGGAAAATAGTAAATTGTACTTGTATGCGCTTCCTGCTGAGACTGCTGTTGAATAGTTACCTGGATCTAGAAAGGCTACACTCACCATTAGACCGGGGCCTATGAATTTGCTATATTTCTTGAGTCGTGATATAATACATCGTATGGTACATTTTCTTAGTAGTTCAAATATCAGCGTAACCATCTGGAAGGAACTTGGCAAAAACGGTTAATGAACGACAGCCAAAAGTACAGTGGAAAGGTCTTGAACGCCAAAAGTACAGTTGAAAGGTCTTGAAATAACTGATGCCAAAAGTACAGTGGAAAGGTCTTGAAAGAACTGATGCCGGTATTCACTTTGGGTAGTAGTAGGATATCTAGTTTTTCTTCTTTTTTTTTTTCTTTTTTTTTTTTTGCCTAGCTCTATTTTTTTTTTTAGCTAGCTCTTTTTTTAGTAGCCTTTTTTATTTTTTCTACTTGGTGGTTTGTAACAGTAAAAGTTAGTTGGTAGTGAGATGGTTTTGGTTAAACTACCAAGGTGTTCACCAAAATCAATGCAGTAACGCAGGGGTAATTTGTGAGTAACTTATGCAAACTCGTTTCGTATTAGAAAATAATGTTGTTTCTACGTTTAAGAGGTTTTTTCTATATCGATTAAAACAAAAAATGGGGGTCAAGTAAGCTTTTTCAATGTTGATGTATTGAAAGGTTTTTGAGTTTGTTGAAAATAAAATTAAGGTTTTTCAACTATGTGTGTGAAGTTTTCATATAAACTTATCTGCTTTATCTTTTTTTGGTATAAAGAGAAAATGAGAAAATGAGAAAATGCCCTATTGTTTTTTCTTTGCTTTCCTGCATTCTCCGATACCTCGGAGTATCACGTGTGAAACACTATAACACTATCGAGCAGAGCGAGATAGTGTTGATAGTCAGTGCTGCTCCACTATTGAACAGAGCAAGATAGTGTTGATAGTGGAGCACTTGATAGCTTGTTACAACACTGCAACACTATCGAGCAGAGCGAGATAGTGTTGATAGTCAATGCTGCTCCACTATTGAACAGAGCAAGATAGTGTTGATAGTGGAGCACTTGATAGCTTGTTACAACACTGCAACACTATCGAGCAGAGCGAGATAGTGTTGATAGTCAATGCTGCTCCACTATTGAACAGAGCAAGATAGTGTTGATAGTGGAGCACTTGATAGCTTGTTACAACACTGCAACACTATCTCGCTCTGCTCGATAGTGTTGATAGTCAGTGCTGCTCCACTATCGAACAGAGCAAAATAGTGGAGCACTTGATGGCTTGTTGCAACACTAACTAGCCTGTTACAACACTATCTCGCTCTGCTCGATAGTGTTGATAGTCCAGTCTCATCTCACGTGACTATAATGTCATCGCATCGGAGTTGTTTCCCCAACCAGTAAAGAAATATTGCCAATGATTTTGTATTTTATTTTTTCTTCTTCATTGAATAATATATATATATATATATATATACATCATAGAGAGGGTTGGGCAAAGGGAGCCGCAGATAGCTTTTGTTAAGACCTTTTTTTTTCTTTTGTATTGGTATAGAAATAATGTTTAGAGTAGTATTGGAAAGGTCCTGTATAGGACAACTGCGTTGGTTCCACCGGTCGTCCATTAGATATGCTGCTTCGTTATTCAGGATGCCGGCAATGTCGCCTACTATGACTGAGGGAGGCATTGTTTCTTGGAAAGTTAAGCCTGGCGACAGTTTCAATGCAGGCGATGTTTTGTTGGAAGTTGAAACTGATAAGGCTACTATAGATGTCGAAGCTGCTGACGACGGTAAAATGTGGGAAATTTTGGAAAAGGACGGTGCAAATGGTATACCAGTTGGTAAACCAATTGCATTTCTCGCTGAAGTTGATGATGATTTGAATAGTTTGGAGAAACCCAAGTTGGAGGAGCAAAAGGAAACAAAAGAGCAACAGAAACCAGAAGAGCAAAAGGAGACAAAAGAGCAACAGAAACCAAAAGAGCAACCGCGTGGGCAAAAGGTGCAAAATGGTGACTCGGCAGTGACTGTGTCATCTAATATACTTCAAACCCCAAATCCAAATCAAAAGTTCTCTCCATCAGTTGAATTATTGTTAAACGAATATGATATTTCTAAAGATACCGCATTGGTTAACATTAAGGCTTCGGGTCCAAATGGTAGAATATTAAAAGGTGACGTGTTGGCATATCTTGGAAAAATCAACGAAGATAGTATAGAAGATATTACCAAGTTTTTGAAGTCAAGGCAACATTTAGATTTGTCAAATGTTGTACCTGCCAAACCTTCCACCAATACAGCCTCCTCTACCACAACCGCCACAACCGCCACAACCGCCGCTGCCACCAATACAGCCGCTGCCGCCACTACTGGTAAAGAAACTGCATCAAAGCCAAAACCAACAAATATACTCTCAGTCGAATTATCTACAATAGTGGGTGAAAATCACTCAAAAGACAAATTCAAACATGCTTTTGAAAAATCAATCCAATCGGCAATAAAGTACACTTATCAACAGAAATTCCCTCAATTCGCAAACTCGCCTAGTGAATCGTCAGTTTACGACAAGTATGACTTGTTTGAAGAATTGATCTCACCATCAGTTACAAAGAATAGATTTGAAGTTTATGATATCAAGTATAAATTTTACAGTAATGACGTTAAGCCCAGAAAAATTGAAGTTTCTGACTTTGATGAAATATTGGGAACAGGTAAGACGCCAGTGCAATATTTACAAACAGATACATCAAATGTTCAAATCCTGTTTAAAATTAAGATTGATGAAAAATTACCCGACGCCAGACAATTTGTTGAGGAGTTTGAAAACTTTTTACTTTCACAAGTTTCAGCTAGTAAATTAAAAATCACTAGCTGAAGGTGTTTGTGTAATAGAATAATAGATAAACCGGATTAGGGAAGCATATAGTTTATATTTACTCCTGTGCATATGCTTTGATTAAGTAGATAAACATTCATGTAAATTAGTAAGATGGAGAATACATATTATGTATGTGTGTACTTTTTGTAAAAATGGAACCGCCTAATTAAAAAAAAAAAATTTCGCAGCCAAACTCACTAAACTCACTATCGAGGAACGAATTAGTGAGTAGTCTCCTACCTCTGTTGACTAACCTACCTTTGTGGGCTAACCTACCTCTGTAGACTAACATTGTTTATACTACTATATTCAATAGAGCAAAACGAGATACTCTACTCTCTCCTCTACTCTTCTCTCAATCTCTTTCTCTCTCTCTCACGCAATATGAATTTGAATCAGTGACACCATTTCTTCTCAAACAAGTGGACAATAGTAAGCCACTTTTACTTTTTCCCTGTTGAAAATATTGAAAAGAAAGAGCAGTGTCACTATTCAGTGCTGCTCCACTATCTCGCTCTGCTCGATAGTGACTGAAAAAAGTCAATGGAGAAAACAAAAAGAAGGATATTAACATTTCTCCCTTTTATTTTGATTACATTGCTTTGAGATTCAAGTTTTTGTCTACGGCGACACTATCGAGCAGAGCGAGATAGTGGAGCAGCACTGACTGGCTTAATGATAGGGTACTTGCTGTACAACTCCTGGATCGTTGCATTTTGAAGTAACTTTTCACTTACGCCTTCCTTTAATTATTTCTACTCTATGTCCTTTTTTTTTGTGCTGGCAGCCAGTGTGCTCCAGTATCGAACAGAGCGAGATCTGATCCACAATCGAGCAAAGAGAGGTAGTGGAGCAGCATTGACTAATGATGCTGACTAGCGGCACTAGGGGCCGAAGCGAGATAGTGTTGTAACAAGCTACAAACTGTTGGTGGCAGCCAGTGTGCTCCACTATCTCGCTCTGCTCGATAGTGTCGCTCTGCTCGATAGTGTCGCTCTGCTCGATAGTGTCGATTGTTTTGTTTTTTTCATTTTAAAATTTAATTTTTTGGCAGAGAAAAGAATCTCAGAAAAAGAAAACAACCATTGTGTCATAGGGTAATGTGCTGTAAAAACGTAGACTATAGGGTGTATTATTAATATTTAACTATGTACCACTATCTCGCTTTGCTCGATAGTGGGATATGTTTGATTCCTCTCTTCTACCGTCATCAAAATCCTTTCAAGTTCTGGCTCTCGGTTTCTTTTCAATTAAAGGGCAATTGGCGTTTTCTAGTTATTGCAACCATGCATACATATTTAACGCGAGTCAAATACAAAGTATAAACAACCAAATTTAAACACTCTGCATTGTTCAACGACATTGTAAATAAACGGTAGCGCGTTAGTAGAAAAAGTCGTTATATAAAAGTCACTATAAGAATTTTTTTATTTTTTTTTTTTTTTTTTTTTTTTTTTTTTTCTCCTGCTAATATCATCTTTCAAAGAGTACTAACTAAGGCTAGTGTAAACCCCTTCATTAAACTATATAGCAAGAAGCGTCCAATTTTTAGTTGTTAAGAGTATAGATTGTTTTTCTCAAGAGGGTTGAACGAGCTTGGTTTGCAATTGCGTACTTTTTCCAGCCAATTGTCTAGAATGTATAATAATATGTACCCTTATCTGAGTTACTCAGCTAATGTTAGCAATAATACTAGTAATAATAACAATAATAATAATAATAATAACAATTCATCATCACCTACAAATGGTCAACAACAGCAGCAGCAACATCAGCAGCAGCAATCGCAACCGCAACAACAACCGCAACCGCAACCGCAACAACAGCGTTCTCCAAACAGTAATAGACAACAGCCATATTTAAGTTCTACAAATACATCCTCATATTTTAATAGAACTGGTGGGGGCTCAACTGCAACTGCAGGTGGTAATAACAGCATATCCAGCGGGAGCAACAATAACAGTGGCAGTGTCGGTGGCAGCGGCAGCGGCAGTAGCGGTAGTAACAGCGGCAGCGGTGGTGGGGTAGCAGGAGGGGTTACTTCCACTTCGCGTGTTGTGCCTTCTTTAACTCATTCAAGTATTCCATCACGTTCCCAGTATGGTATTCTGTCGTTGAGTAGTTTAACTGGATCTCACGCAAATCAGTACCTGATTTCTCAACAACACCAACAACACCAACAACAGCCATCTCAACAACCAGCGCAACAGCCATCTCAACAAAACCTCTACTATCAACCAACGACATCTTCAACACCTCACTCTCATTCTCATCCAAACACACCACAAATTTTTAATTCTCAATTACACAATGATCACCCACAACAATTGGATCCAAAGCAACTACAAAAATTCGCTCCACAACAACAACAACATCCCCAGCAACAGCAACAACATCCGCCGCAGCAACAACATTCTCAACAACAGTACCATCACCAACAACAGCAACAGCTGCAGCCTCACTATTATCCATCTACTCAACAGCAGCAACACCCAACTACTGCTACACCACAATCTATCTATTCCAATGTCCCCGCGTCAGCAGTCCACCATCAACTTCGTGCACAACAATCACAGTATCAACAGCAGGCGCAACAACACCAATCAAGTGTTTCTCCGCGCGCTTCTCAAACCAATGTCACTCCAACTACAAGTAACTCTAACATGCCTGCAACTCCACCAACTCAACAAATACAACCAGGTAAAAAACCAAGAAAACCAAGAGCAACTAAAAAGGAGATGGAGGAAAAAAGAAGACTTCTTTTGGAGAAGGAACAAATTAGAGCACAACAACAACAGTATTCTCCGGATGGTTTAAGCTTGCACCATCAGTCACAAGCTGCTGGAAGCGAGGTATCACTAGGTGCGAATGGGAAAAAGAAAAGAGGTCGCCCTAAGAAATTCATACTTGATCCATCAACTAATACAATGATTGACTCAACACATCCTAATTTCAAACAGTTGAATAAGATCCTAAAGGATACTTCTGGAAGTACGGCTGCTCGTGTTGCCGTATCTGCTACTACTACTACTACTGGTACACCGGATCAGTATATGTCTAATTATCACGACAACTTACTCCATCATCAGCAACAGCAACACCCACGTGCACGTCAGCATAGTTCTTCTCGTGGCGCTGGTAATCAAACCAATATCACTACTGCCACTGCAGCAGCAGCAGCAGCAGCAGCAGCTTCATCAGGTGGACTTCCGCGTGATACTAGTAAAATCTTAAACAAAGATAATTCAGGAGCACCAGCACCAGGTCAGAGTTTGTTTGATATTAACGAGGTTGAATTCCAACAAATATTAAAGAAAAAAGATCGAAGGGGCAGACCTAGGAAATTCCCCATAGAGCAAACTGGTGTTACTATTAAAGGTGTGAAGATAAATGGAGGTATCACCAAAAAATAACTTTCATCAGAACTAGCGCTAGCACCTTCACTTTCACCTTAGCACAATTATTGTTTTTTTATTTTATTTTTCGCTTTGTCCAAAGCATTATTTTGCCAGTACATTTGTATCATCGCCTCATTGTCTTATTTGTCCCGTGTGTTATGTTTTATTTAACCTTGTTGTCTGATTTTATCAAGTAGTGTCAAAAAGAAAAAGAGAAAAGAGTGAGAAGAAACTTGTCGCTTAGAATCGGGTGGATATGACGCTTACTGATCCTTAAGTGGCGAATTAGAAAAAAAAAAAAAAGAAACTGAAAACCGCCAAAACCAGCATGTTGTGCCTCGTTCTTCTTTCTTGGTCTTTTTCGATGCTGTTGATTTGAAATTGCAGTTCAGTTCTCTTTTATTGTTTATTAGATTGTAGTCTTTAAATATCTGTAGTATAACAAAAGAATAGTATTAAAAAAAAAAAAACCAAAAAAGATATAAAAGCTCTATATTCTGATGTCACAAGAGTCACATAATCTTATTCATAAATCTTCCAACAGCAATCATTGGTGCACAAATGGCTTTAATCATTATACATAATGCATCGATCAATCGACTCAATTCAAATAAAATCCACATAAATAATAGAAGCTCCACTATTAGAACTACCATTTGCAAATTGGGAAAAAAATCTCCAAAGACATCAATTGGTGAAAAAATGATTCTCATAATTTGAAATTTTTTGAGCATGGTTATTAGATTACTGATTACTTCTATTGGTTTTTGTGTGTCTATTAAATTGTATAATTGTTCCTGAGAAGAAGGTGCTCCTTCAATGGCTAAAGTATGATGAGAACTAGCTGATGATGATGGTGGTGGTTGTGTTTCGAGTTGCTTTGTTGTAGGGTTATAGTAGAGCTCTTCAGACATGGATTCAATTTCTTCATTTTCTGAATCTAACTCAATTATGAATTCCGTTGGGGTGTCTTCTACTATATGCGAAATGGATGTGCTTTCTGGTGGTGGTAGTAATGATGGTTTACTGTTCTTTTGTGGAACGGCCAAGTTACCATTAAACATTTTGATTGCTGGTTCATTCCAATTTGCAAATATTAACTTTGATCCTCTAGTGAATTTCTTTATTCTAGGGTTCTTTAGTAGCTGTGCATTATCAGGAGGAGCAGCTGGTGTTGTCAGAGGAGGAGGAGGAGGAGGAGTTGGTGCTGGTGCTGTGGCGGTCTTAGGACTAGCTGCTTTGATAGGTACTAACTCTTTTGAAGTGGATGATGCTTGTTTAGATTGTACATCGGGCTTATCTATTGGTATTGTCACCTCCTTCTCATCTTGTTTTCCAACTGGAAACCATGACTTGATATAATTGACACAAGGAACTAATAAGGAAGTCGGTTCACATTTATTCGTTTTTTCTTCAACAACCTCAACCTCAACATCGACCTTCTCCTCCTTCTCCGCCTTTTTTTCCTCCTTTTTCTTCGTCTCCCCTTCTTCCTTCTTTGGCTTTACGCTTGGTTTCTCTTCCTCCTTGACCTCTCCCTCAACTAATTTTTCAACAATTTTGTCAACAATTTTCTGCTTCTTAGCCTCATCAATATAAGAGTCAAAATCTCGACCTAGTTCTTTACTCGCTTGTTTCAATTTTTTCTTTAACAATTGTTTAAGTCTCGCCTGATTTATTTTGGTATTCGGCTCCTCATCATCACCAGATACAAATATGCTTTCACCTTTACTTTTGCCTTCTTTATTACCACCATCAATGATAGTCTTTTTCGCTCCACTCGGACTCTGTTTCTCTATGATAGTATTTTTCGCTCCACTTGGACTCTGTTTCTCTATGTTAGTATTTTTCGCTCCACTTGGACTCTGTTTGTGGTCACCACCACTAACCGGCAGCAGCACAGAGTTGTTCTTCATTGCTCCATTACTCTCACTTTTTCGAATTCTGTTCTCATAATAGTCATAATCATTGTACTTGTCCTTCATGAATTTGACACCACTCAAAAGTCTTTTCTTACTGCCATCGCTACTACTATATTCACCTTCCTTCTTGTCAAATACTATATCCATTGGATTATACCTACTCTTGTTCTCTGTCTTATCTTCAAAAACCTCTCTGAATGTTTTATGTGTATATAATTTAGGTTTCAATGAAGTATCTGCCACATCGAACCTTTGTTTCTGTTTCAAATAATAGTCGTTATTTTGGTTCACTTTCCTCCGTGATAAAGATTGTTGTGGCAGTTGTACTTGTCTCTCAAAACTATCATAAGGGAAATGATCGTCATATCGTGATCGCGATATACGTCGTTGCTCGCGACAATGACGCTTTATAAATTTATTCTGCATAGCAGTCAATTGAGCAGGTGTAAGCTCTTCCCGTAATTGATCGTCTGAATCACATTCATACTCGATCTCCACCTCATCTCCATTTCGCACCAAATTCAATGGGGATGGAGTTGTTGCGGGTACAACTTTGGGCCGGATATTTTTCATTACCGGTTTTTTCAGGGGTGTAGCACTAGAACTAGCACTAGCACTAGCACTTCTCATCTCCTTGGTGTGTCTCGTACTAACGCTCATATACTCTCTTGGGGTGGAAGCATAGTAGCGCTGATCGGTCTGGTAACGTAAGCTTTGTTCCAACTGTCGTTTTTTTTGATATAGGTACTCTGGTGTATAATACGCATCACTAGTAATGTTCATTTTTTCTTCTATATGGAAAAATTCCCTTTAGGGGTAAGAATGAAAACAAAATAGTAAGATTAGCTTTTTAATGAGCAAATCTTAATTGGGGGGAGGAGTTACAGTAGTTAAGGTTTAATGTGAAAAGCTTTAAGGTTTAATGTGAAAAGAAAGCTTAGATGTGAAAAGTATTGACAAAAGGACAAAAAAAAAATATAAATAAAATAAAATAGAATAAAGATCAAACTCAAGTGAGTCAAGGATTCAAGTGTGAGTCCATGTATGTGTATAAGGGTAAGTGTCCGAGTGTCTGTGTGTTAGTATGTCAGTGTCTGCCTATCTCATCTTTCTTGTTTATGTGTCTTATACTTTTATAGAATAGTTTCCTTAACAATATAAATTGCAAAATTTAGTCTAATCAAAGTGAAAAATAAAATGGCTGGTTGTTCAATAACACAAAATTAAAATCTTTATACAGCGGGAAAAAGAAAAAAAAAAAAGAAACCAATGACAAACTTGAGATTTGCTCCATGATTAGCTTTAGCTATGGTTAGCTTTAGAGTTGTCTAGACGTTGAAAGGCAAAAGCGAAAGGGCTGATTAGGAAGACAGTTATTTTCTGGAAAAACTAAAAAAGAAAAGCACGAAATATATGAGTTTAGGAATTTTTAAGCCTTATTGGAAAATCTCAGTAATGTAAGATAAGCTTACTCATACTTCTAGCACATATCTATCTAAGATGAAACATACTAAAACTAGAGTAGTTGAAAAGTATACACACACTAGTTTGAGAGCAAAGTCAATCCCCCCCTCCTTCTCTGTTGCCCTCTTTTCTGTTGCCCTCTTTTCTGTTGCCCTCTTTTCTGTTGTCCTCTTTTCTGTTGTCCTCCTTGTAGAGTTAGTGTTGGTACCACAAAATGGTCCGCTAGCTCGCTTCGCTCCCTGGTGTTTATAAGGGCGTGCGTGTTTCCCAAAAAAAAGCTAGTCATTTCCCCCACATTTCGAGATGAGCATTAGCCAGCAATTAGACAAGGCTATTAACTTGAGGGAAAGAACGACATCTTAGTAAAGAACTTTATTTTTCGGGCCCTTTTGAACTACGGCTTTATCGACAATCTCTCTTTTAACTCTCAAGTCCCCCTTTTTTCTTTTTGCTTCTCTATTATATAAAATGGCTCATAATTCATGCTGGAGACATATACCGAAAAGGTTTAACTCGCAATACACTTCTCCTCCAATTTCCCCCTTTTCCTATATCCACGTCGATGCGCTCTCCGATAATAGAAAAGAAGTAATAGCAAAACATCTAAAGGAGTTGGGTCCATTCCCCACATATTCCAATATACTCAATCTGCAACATTTCTACCAAAACACAGTTCTACTAGACTATTTGAAAAAAAAACCACATCCAATATCATTGAGACAACTAGCTGGTTATGGGAATGTTTTGACAAAACAAAAAATCGTAAGTAGTGCAAACTTTGTACGTATCGAATTACCAATTCGTTTAGCAATGAGAATTCGAGATTTGCAAACTTTACCATTTGGAGTTGTCAACAATTATCACTTGGCCCAGGTTTATGAAAGCTACTACCATCTGTTTGATGCCTTTCGCAAAATACCTCAGATCCATACAATTGAAGAAAACGAGAGATTTTGTAAAACCTTATCTACGCTTTTGGATGATCATTTGTTTAATTTGTCGCATCTTATGATGGGTGCACTTGAAGTGTCAATTGCTGAAACTTTACCACAACGAGAGTTGGACACATTTATGAGTTCGATGCTAAGGTCAAGAATTAGTAGGAGAGTCATTGTTGAAGAGCATTTGTCATTGAGTGAAAATTATCAGAAAAATCCCTATGCTAAAAAGCCGCCACATTATCTTGGAGAAATCTTTCAAAATTGTAGAGCCGTTGATCATTTTAATCAAGTTAGTGAAATGGCTAAAGAGTCAATGAGTCAGTCATTTCCCGAGATAAAACAAATGCCAAATTTGGAATTTGAAGGTAACTTAAACTGCCTGTTTCAATTCATGGTACCTCATCTACATTACATACTTTATGAAATAATTCGAAACTCTTTTGAGGCTACTATTGAAACACATGCAAAGAAGGGACAAGTGCAGCAATCACTACCACCTGTCAAGGTAACTATCGTGGATCTGAAAAAAGAAGTATTATTTAGAATATCGGATCAAGGAGGCGGTATAAACCGTGAAAAATTAAAACTCATTTGGTCATTTGGCAAGAGTCCAGAATTGGCTAGAAAAAGTTTGGCGAATTTCCACAAAATTTCGGGATTGCCATTGAATTCTAGAATCAATCCTGCTACAATGCCTAGTTCAGAGAAGCAAAATGTAGGTCATATGACCTCCTCCTCCTCCTCCTCCTCCTCCTCCTCATTATCATCATCATCCGCCGCCTCATGGGGTACTCACAAACACTCTACACTACAACGGTTAATGGACAGAGAGTATGAACATAAACTAGGCATGGGACTACCATTATCATCAGTCTATGCTGATTACTGGAACGGAAATTTACAAATGAATTCAATAGAGGGATATGGATGCGATACTGCTTTAACATTGAGTAAATTAGGATACCATACTAACGTTGTACAGCTTGATAGGGCATAGCTACCCACTATCTCGCTCTGAGCTATGCTATGGAGCAACGCTGGTTTACATTTTGATGTATAGTAGTTATACAGGTTTCTTGTAATCAAAAAAATAAAAAAAAAATAAACATTTTTGTTTCTCACTGATTCCTTTTAGGGATCATTTTTCCACCGTTTTTCTTCATTTATAACAAACGAATGAATACACCTCTTAATACCTTATCTCCAAAACCAACCAACTAGAGTAATTTTTCTCTGCCAAGTTTCAATTGGAACAAGACAAGTTATCACTATATTTTTTACTTTTTCCCCTTCCCCTTCCCCTTCTCCCCTTCCCTTTCCCCTTTCCCTTTCCCTTTCCCCCTTTGTTTAAATTGGCGCGGATTTCTCTTATAATGTCCCGAGTAAGAGATAAAAATAAAAAGCAGTTACATATTAAGAAAAAGCAGTAACATATTAATAAAAAGTAGTAAGATATTAATAAAAAGCAGTAACATATTAATAAAAATCAACCAATCATTGGTAACCTCGTTTCATTCCTATAAAATCATCTCGGTTATTCTCCCGCGTCTTATTCTTTTTAATCGTACCACCATTAATTACCACCGCAACCAAATAACCCCCTTTATATAATCACGTGATACCATTTAATTGAAGTGAGAGAGTTTCTACAAACTCTAGATGCTACAACATTCTCTTATTGTCTTTATCGCGGCATACGATCCAACCCACCAGCCAACTGGACCTTTCGCTTTCAATTTTCCCTCTCTCTATCTATCTCCCTCCTTTTCTACCTTTTACCCTTTCTTCTTAAGAAGAATATAATTACGCGATAAGTACTTTCTTTAATCGATTGCAAATAAAGTTTTTAGAGAGACCTTCTATTTTATTGCGCTCCCCACAAAAAAAAGAAAAAAGAAATGAAAATCAAGACGTACATAAAAAAAACTCCTTATTGACTCGGATAAAAATTACCCATTTAGATTAATGTAATGAAGTTATCAAAATAGTGAGAGGCCGTCTTGCCTCCCCTCTTTAATCATTTGGCCTAGAATAAAACAGCCACTCTCCGCAAGGGACAAAAGGGCTCTAAGGATCGCTTAGCATTTGCCGTCTATGTTTTTTGATCGCTTAGCATTTATCGTCTATGTTTTTTGATCACTCTTTTTCTTTCATTTCGTTCTTTTTCTATTCTAATGGCTTTCCCGAGAGATTTTATGCTTGCCTTTGTCTTTGTGTTTGTTGAGTTGAGTTGAGTTGATGTGACTCTCTTCTGTGGCCAACTACTATAAGCCCCCCTCCTCTTTTCCTTCCTCCCCCTCCTCTTTTTCTTCCTCCCCCCTCCTCTTTTCCCTCCTCTTTTCCCTTCTCCTTTCCCTCCTCCTTTCCCTTTTCCTCCCCCTCACCCCCTTCTATTGACTAGGAGCGCACAATATAATATTTATTTTTACAATGTTAATTGTGAGAGTCTCGAATCAATCTTATGTAATTGACAATAGGGTTAAGTTGCGGGAGACTAATAAACGTGCATTGCATTTAGTAATGTTGGGTTGGTTTGTTGAGAAATTATAAATACGATGCAAATAGTCCAGCTTTTCCTAAAGATCTTGTAATTTCTAAAAAACCAAGACTAAAACAAGATCTCAGTAATCTCTAAAAACCAAGACTAAAACAAGATCTCAGGGGAATATTCTGTAGCGTTAAAAGAAATAGGAAATAAAGATGGGCAAACCAAAAGTTTTATTAGTTCTTTACTCAGGTGGTGACCACGCCAGGCAAGAAAAGAAATTGTTAGGGTGTGTTGAAAACGAGTTGGGTATTCGTCAATTTGTTGAAGAACACGGTTATCAATTGGTTTCCACCACTGATAAGGACAGAGAAGGTTCAGAATTTGACAAGAACTTGGAAGATGCCGAAATCGTTATTACTACTCCTTTTTTCCCAGCTTACCTCACCAAAGAAAGGATTGCTAAAGCTCCAAAATTAAAAATTGCAATTACTGCCGGTGTTGGGTCCGACCATGTTGACTTGAATGCTGCCAATGAAAGAAACATTTCTGTTTTGGAAGTTACTGGTTCAAATGTTCAGTCCGTTGCTGAACACGCTGTTATGACCATGCTTGTCTTGATCAGAAACTACAACATTGGTCACTTTCAAGCCGAAAGTGGTGGTTGGGATGTTGCTGCTGTTGCCAAAGAAGCATATGACATTGAAGGTAAAACCATTGCTACTGTTGGTGCAGGTAGAATTGGTTACAGAATTTTGGAAAGATTAGTTCCTTTTAATCCAAAGAAATTGTTGTACTATGATTACCAACCTTTGCCTGCTGCTGCTGAAGAAAAATTGAACAAAGCGTCAAAATTGTATAATGATGTGGATACCATTGTTGAAAGAGTTGAATCATTGGAAGACTTGGTTGCTCAATCCGACATTGTCACCATTAACTGTCCATTGCATGAAGAAACTAGAGGTTTATTCGACAAGGCCTTGATCTCAAAAATGAAGAAAGGTTCCTATATCGTAAACACAGCAAGAGGTGCCATTTGTGATGCCGATGCCGTTACTGAAGCATTGTCTTCGGGACATCTTGCAGGTTATGGTGGTGATGTTTGGAACGTGCAACCAGCTCCAAAAGAACACAAATGGAGATCAATGCACAACCCATACGGTGAAGACTACGGTAATGCTATGACTATCCATGTTTCCGGTACTTCATTGGATGCCCAAGCAAGATACGCTGCTGGTGTAAAGAGCATATTGACTCAATATTTTGACAAGACTTATAACTACAGACCTCAAGATGTCATTTGTATCGATGGTCAGTACGCTACCAAAGCTTATGGTCAACGTGATGAGAAAAAGGCCGCTTAAAGCAGAAAAGTAAAAGCCGCTTAAAGAAAGTAAGAGCCCCTCAATAGCAAGAGCCGTTTAATAGTTTGTAAGGAAGGTAATTTAGTTTTTAGAATATATATCTTATATCTAGATTGAATCAAACTGACAAAGAAGGTGTATTTTGAAAAAGGATTGGTTTTAACTGTATATGTTCACTACTTTTTTTGATTGCTCTTGGTTCTATCAAGGACAAATAAAACACCCCTGTGCTGTAATCAAAGGTTTATCATCAAAGTGAAGAGCTTGCTGGTGGGTAGTACTATGCGGTAGCGATTTTTTCCAACTTTTCAATTTTTAATAATAGCTCATTGAACGGATCAAAGTCATAACGTAAATGAATGTTTGATAAAATAAAACTTTCAGTGTTTGAAAGTATTGTAAATAATCAAAACTTTGATGACGAAGAGCCTTTGTTAGCGGAAGTTCTTGGCTCTCGGAAAATCTTCACTCAAAATCCCACTGAGATTGGTTACTTTACACAATCGGGAGGACAACTTCACTACAATGACACTACAGGATTAGGTATAATTAATATTCCAATTGGTTCAACAAAATCAGGATACACAAAGAATAAAGGCCAAAAAGCTGAAAAAAGACAACCTTTAATAGGCACGAGTTTATCTGAAGGGTTTGACGATTATCAGCGCACTAGTTTAGACCAAATCTATCTGCTTGATGATTTGTTTGAATCTATTCATTATCTTTTGAATAAAGGCGTTTTGTCACGAAATGACTTGAAGTTTCTTACACTACGAAGGCATTTACAGAAATTGATGAATATCCCCTTGGACAGACAACTTGGTCAGTTCAATGTTATCTACTGGAAAGAATTGATTTTCTTCACATATGACTGGGAAAACAGTCTCCAAAAAGAAGAATGCACATACACATATACTGAGTTATTGCTACAATATTCCGGATTCAAGTTTGAACAGTTGTTGACGGATTCAGAAACAATATCTAAATATTTCACAGTGGTGAAGCACAAAGTAAATGGTATACCGGTGATATACACTGCAGAGATTGATTGTGGTATCACTAAATCACCGGGGCTAACAAACTATGTAGAGTTGAAAACCCATTCTCATTTACTTGATAATAAACTAAAGACCAAAAACAAATTTCATCACAAGTTGATGAAGACGTATTGCCAAAACAAGTTCATCTCGTGCAAGAATGCGGTAGTTGGTTTCAGATCAGCGGATTTCAAACTTACATCAGTGAAAAAGTATACCGACTTTGAATTGGCTAAAACATTGCGTGCTTCACCAATATTTTTGACTCGTACATGCTCGATAAATACGGATCACATTTTCCAATGGTACAAGTTAATCATAAGCTGGATTTGTGAAAGGAAAATAGAGGACAGCGATGAATGTCAAGTGTTTAAGCTATCTTTCAAAAGAGAGGGGGAATTGATGGATTCACACCTATGTTTTCAAACTGTCAAGAAAGAGGAAGCAAATAAAATATTCAAAAAAGTAGTTCCCACCTGGTTCCGGGAATTTTGCGAAGCTCAATAACCATTCATTACCTAATTTCTCTCTATATATATACATGTTCATAAAAAAAGACCTACTTAAATACGATCTACTCAAATAGAACCTACTTGAATAAGATCTACTCAAATAGAACCTACTTGAATAAGATCTACTCAAATAGAACCTACTTGAATAAGATCTACTCAAATAGAACCTACTTGAATAAGATCTACTCAAATAGAACCTACTTGAATAAGATCTACTCAAATAGAACCTACTTGAATAAGATCTACTCAAACAAGACCTACCTATTCCTGTATAGCATCCTTGATCTCCAATTTTCTTGAATGTGTATTAAAATATTCACCCAACTCGGCCATACTCATTATACTTGGATCCGCAGTCATTTTTAGTTTGTCTTTAAATGTGACTACAATCTCAGGTTGGTCGGTTTCACTGTTTAATAATTTCAGACTTATTCTCGTATTTGACGGCATCCTAGAAAGGAAAATCCTCGCGCTTTTCGCTGCCGGGGTAAACGGATTGAATTTCACCAGCACATCTGTAAAGTATTTCGTAATCAATCTGGAACTCATTTGCGTTGAACTTAACGGGTTGATCTATAAAGAAAAAAAAAAGTTGAAAAATTATAAAGAGAAAAATAAAAGCATTGTTCGCTATCATCAAACTGAGTGGAAAATCTCTGTCTCTAATTACAAATGGGTTAAGATACAATATTCTTGACCAGACTATTCCAGTATTTAGTCTTGTAAGGGACTTTATGAACTTCTTGCAATGCCAGTAGAGTCTCTTGTAATGCCAGTAGAGTCTCTTGTAATGCCAGTAGAGTCTCTTGTAATAACAGTAGAGTCTCTTGTAATAGAGTCTCTTGCAATGCCAGCAGAGTTTCTAGCAGAGTTTCTAGCAGAGTTTCTAGCAATGCCAGCAGAGTATTTTTCCTTGCGTCTATTCTTCAAGTGCTGCCATGCAAAATACGCTACTGGTATATAGCACACAAACGCTGTTTTGAGAGCCATCGTGTAATACTCATTTTCATCGGCAACCGCCAAACTTAAGAATAGCATCAGCATCTCGGCACATACCTGCAATGGGAAAGTTAAATAAAAATTGTTATATTGTAGCCACCATAAACTAAATGGAGCCCATCTCATTTTCACCTTGAATGCTTGATATGTGAATTGTATCATATATTGAATGCACCAAGCGGTTATCAATAACGAATAAGTAGTATGTTTGGCAATTTTGGGAAATGGGAAGATGACTCCATAACAGATCCAAACCATCCAAACTCCATTGAATAAGGACCAGAAGCTTGATACTATACCACTACTCTTATTTACAATATTAAATAAAAGTGTCGCAAGCAAAGGTATTACAGAAACAGCGTGGAAGAAATCAGCAATGCCTCCCGGTAGAAATCGTCTACCAACTAATGGTAAAAGAATCAAAAACCTGGCAAAGCAACAAAACCATAACGTGGCTCCAACAACATCAACAAAGAATAGTAGCCTTTTCTCAAACGAAAGTCGATGCTGCAACATCTCTTGTAGAGAAAACTTATACTTATTTGGTATGCAATCACCAATTCAAGTATACCAAATAGAGTTAGTTTACTATTTTTATATATATCTCGCGCTTCGTTTTCCTTCGCCTGATGGGCCCGTTTTCTTCTCGCCCAGTATCTCGTTCTAGGGCGGGCTTCTGTCGCTTCTGGCGAGATCCTTCACATTTTTTTGTCGGCGCCCGGAAAAATTCCAGCACGACTTTTCCAGCACGACTTTTCCAGACATATTTTTCCAGAACGACATTTTATATTATTTTATTTTTAATTTCTTTTTCCACTCGGTTTTTTTTTTTTCACTAGCCGCCCACCCTCGCATCTACTTTTGATATACGTTACACAACTCAAGATGAGATTGGTATTTGCCATAATACTCCTTATTGGCGTCTGTACAGCATGGACCACCGAGGACTATGAAATATTCAAATTGAATGATTTGATAAAGCAGGATTTGGGACCGGAGACCACTTTCTACAGTTGGCTAGGATTGACGAATGGACCATCATCAACTTCGCTGGAAATAAAAAAGGCATATAGGAAGCTATCCAAAGTTTTGCATCCTGACAAACTATCTTCTGTTTCAAAGAAGGTCAAGAAGCAAGCTGAGGAAAAATTTTCCAGGTTATCGCTAGTTGCCGATATCTTGTCGGATCAGTCAAGAAAACGACGTTACGATTATTTTTATGCAAAAGGCTTCCCCAGATGGAAAGGAACTGGCTATTACTATTCAAAGTATCGTCCTGGGCTCATCACTACTATCATATTTATCTACATTTTCGTGGGAACTTTTCATTATTTCGCTTTAAAGATCAATCGCAAGCAGGATTACAAAAGAATAGCTAATATCAGGAATGAAATTAAGGCCCAGGCTTGGGGAGGTTCGCAAGTTCCTCCTTTGGATGGATCAGATAGAAAGTTGACCAGTGAAGCTAGCGGTAAAACTTTTATAGTGAAAAGCACCGGTGATGTATACGTGGATACAGGAAATGAGTTGCACTTGATAAATGAAAATGAGATCAATTTGAACCCATGCTTTAAGGATACATTGTTTTTCAAATTGCCCGCTATAACCTATAATGCGTCATTGGGAAGGTTTTTCACACCAATTGATTTGTCAGTATCATTTGATAAACCACAAGAAACAATAAAGGAAGAAGCTGAGCATAAAAAGTCAAAAAAGAAGCCAAAGGGAAAGAAAATGGAATTAGCAAATGGTAAAGTGGTCTACAGTAGGAAAAAGTAAAAATAGTGTAGAAAGAAAAAGTAATAAAAAAAAAAAAAAAGTAAAATTACAATTCCTTAGTATACTAGCATTATATTTCCTATTTCAGGTGCTATTATCTACTCTATTTCACTATGCTTTGAAACTCTGTGCAATTCGTTATTTCATCGTTATCATCGTCTGACAAACTTCATGACAAATTGTTCTTGGTAGTACTGTTTTCATCATGATCAATTTCTTTGTCTTCATCCCCGTTATCTTCCAACATTCTATGTTTTGTAACATCACTATCTAATACCATTTTCCTAGTGTCCGTGTCGGATCCACCTATATCTTCATTCTTGCTATTACTGTTGTTGTTTTTACCCTCCTTCTCCTTTTCATCTTTATCCACATCCTCATCTTCGTCCTCCTCTTCTTCTTCTTCTTCTTCTTCTTCGCCATCCTCGTCACTGCCGCCGTCGTTACTACCACCACTGCTTGACCTATCGTGAACAAATTCGTCATGATTGGATGTATCGCCTAATATTATCTTCTTTGGCAGATCCATATCCAAATAACCAACGGAAGAGCTGTCGTATCCATAATCGACACCATCATCGCAATCATCAGCACCTAGGATGGCATTATATACTTCTCGAGTTTTTGACAATAAGTCATTAACAAACCAATTCCATTGTTCACTCAGAACTGATTCAACAATTATAGGCGATATCAAATCTGGCTTGTATAAGGAGATGAACTTTACAATTTCTTCTCCTATCAAAATCAAGTGTCCCATATATCCGGGTCTCGGCTCTAATTCACTCTTAAAAGCGCCAACAATCAAACCAGTAAGATCGCATTTATCTCTCTTGAATAGTTCAACTATCAAAAATGAATTGTATGAATTAAGCTTCCCATTAAAGATTTGCTGGATCAAGTCAAAGACTACATTGTGGAAAAAATTATTCCACTTGTAGTTGGCAAAATTGTTAATAATATTTAGCAAAATGTTCAGATCAATGAGTTTTATTTTGAAAAGATCCCCCACGCAAGGATCCAGCCTTATCGTGGCATCTCTTTCAGCACATACAAATGGATTTTCGGGGGAGATTGAAGGCTCCTCATCTTCAGAGTCCTCAATAGTATCTAGTGCATTGATTAAGTGATAAAATTCATGTGTTGTCTCGTCATCTTCTGCACTTTGGTGTGGGCTGGTAGAATCGAAATGGACGTCGTCAAGTGAAACGTCATCCAATCCGGATGTTACGTCATGCACGTTAGGAGAGTCTCGAAATGCCATTTTGTCGTTTAAAGCTTTTCTCAAGCGTTTGCTTTGTTGAGACCTAATTTGATCTCTGATGCTAATAATTTTTGTAATTTTCCTGGAATTGAGCAAGATCATATTGGAACAGTGGAGGAGTTCCGCAACTAACTCGGATATTTTGAACCTCGTGAATCCTAGTATTTCCGAGGTAACTTCAGGTGGCGCAATAGGTTCAATTTCCAATAATTCTAGAAAATTGTCAAGATTGTCCGAGAAAATTTGCAACATGTCTCCCAAATAGATTGGGTCTCTGGAACTTGGAGGGTTCTGTTCAAAATCTTTGAGCCATTGAAACAGTACATAGGAGTTGATTTCTCCGGTACTTCCATCTCCATTTTGTAGCATGGAGCTATAAGATCCGCAATTCAAATCATAATCGGAATTATTCTTTCTAATAAGATCTATCACAATACTAACACAATTGTTGATACCGTGTTTGTTTGTCTGGATCCTGCCATCTTTTCCCTTCACTTTTTTCAACATAATATCATTAATTATTGTGTTGACTATTTCTGGAGAAACTAGTTCTCTTGTCAACTGATTAGGGCCAATGTTCGTTTCCATGACTACTGCTAAAGCCGCATTTGATGAGATTGTTACTAATGCCTTCAAAAAATCAGTAGCTGAGCTTTGCTTGAAATATTGTTGGTGATCGGGGATATATGGCGTTTGATCAAATTGGTCAGGCAATGGCTTTAGAATATCGATCAATTTCTTGATGACATTCTGCAGACCTATTGTTTCCAAAATCCCCGTTGGAGAATCTGGTTTATCAGTTTGTATAATCCTAAAGAAAAAATCCATAATTGCAGGCACTTCAATTTTGGCCAAAAATGTATCAACCAAATCTTCTTGCCGCCTAACATAATTGAGCAACTCTATACTATTGGCATCCAATAGCTGATCCAATATGCGCACCATATACGATACAGTTGGAGAATTTTCTTGCAAGTGCGGCAATTTCAAAATCATCCATAGTTTATTCATTATCCCCGGTGTTTCGATAATCCTATTCAGTATCACCCACATATCAATGGAAAGTATGTCTGCAGCAATCTGCACGCACCTACGAAATTTCTCTTCCAGGGCTTCTTCTTCCGACTTTATATCGGCAATTTCTTCACATTCCTGGATATCTGTAACGGGGTTATATTCCTCAATAGTTTTTCGCACCTTATCTTCCTCTTTAAGCCGTTGCTCAAAAAAGAAATCAACACTTTGTTCCAAGATACCAATGAGCCCCGACAAGATGTGGGGCTGTATCATCAACTCAACTAGCCTGACCCCTCTTGAGTCCTTGAAATTTGTTGCTCCCCCGACATTATCGTTTGAAGATGTAAATGATACCGAATCCGAATTTGCATTTGGATTCGCATTCGCATTGGAATTGGAATTGGAATTCATATGCTCAGGAGCACCACTCGTCGGCAGAAAGTGAACGGGCCCCCCATTCTTATTGAAATGACCTTTGATACTCAGTAGCTCATTAAATATTTCCTGCATTAATGTAGGATCCTTCATCATATCCTCTACCGTCACCAACGAAACCTCATTAATGGACTCTAGAAATTTCAGCAATGCATTATTGCTATTCAATGCATTATTAAACGGCCAAAACGACATCTCGCTAATATCCTTTGGGTGCAACCAACTTAATAAAATTAACAACCTCTCACCGTCCCTCTTAAGACCCACTAAACTCTCTCAAATTCGAAGCGTTTGAAACAAATCAGAGTAATAAGTTTGAAACTTATACTGTGATTCCAATGATTGATTCCCTTACTGACGAAGAGAAAAAAAATATGTCACAAAGAAATAAAAAATGAAAAGAATATAATTCGAGATTAAATTAAGGAGAGACAAGCACTATCGAGCTCCACTATCGAGCGAAGCGAGATAGTGGAGCGCACTAGCTGCCATTGCGTATGGGTATGGGCATGAATATGTGTATGTGTATCTTTTTGTGTATGTGTTTTTGCTCCACTATCGAGAAACACTATCGAGAAACACTATCGAGAGACACTATCGAGAAACACTATCGAGCAGAGCGAGATAGTGTTGTAACAAGCTGCCGAGTGTTGCTCCACTATCGAGCGACACTATCGAGCAGAGCGAGATAGCGTTGTAACAAGCTGCCGAGTGTTGCTCCACTATCGAGCAGTGACACTATCGAGCAGAGCGAGATAGTGTTGTAACAAGCTGTCGAGTGTTGCTCTACTATCGAGCAGTGACACTATCGAGCAGAGCGAGATAGTGTTGTAACAAGCTGTCGAGTGTTGCTCTACTATCGAGCAGTGACACTATCTCGCTTCGCTCGACAGTGTTGTTACAAGCTACTGTCAGTGTGCTCCACTATCTCGCTCCGCTCGATAGTGTCGCTCGATAGTGTCGCTCGATAGTGTCGCTCGATAGTGTCGCTCGATAGTGTCGCTCGATAGTGTCGCTCGATAGTGTCGCTCTTCAGAGTCACTCTCTAGTTCGTTTCTTCTTCCGGTACCACTGACTCAACCATTTTGATAGCTTTATCATATTCATCCAAAACAAGTTGGTTCATCTTCAAACCAGAATGGTAAACTATATCGCGACAATTATTTGCACAATGCTCTACCCATTCTCTTATAGTCATTTCTTCTTCTTCTTCTGGCATTTCAGCGATAAATCTGGTTAGGTCTCCGTTGAAATCATTGTACAAGTCAAATTCACATTTGGCAAGCTGTCTCAATTCTCGAGCACTATTCTCCAAATTTACCTTTTCATCCCAAAATTGACTCATTTTAAATGATGTGGATTGAAGTTGACTCTCGGAAAAACTGGGAATGCAAACTTCTCCATTCTTCTCTTCTGTCAAGGACGAGTTCATGGCTAAGGGTGCAGTCATCTCTTCTTCGTCTTCTCCTCCTTCTTCTCCCCCTTCTTCTCCCCCTTCTTCTCCCCCTTCTCCTCCTTCTCCGTCTTCTCCTTCTCCTTCCCCTTCTCCTCCTCCTAGTTGACTTGGCTTACTCACTGATTGCTCTGGGACTACTACAGCAAAATCTCCCTTTTGGCCTGATATATGGTTAGTTGACTGCAGACCGCTTTCTAAAACACTCTCTACTACAGCCTCTGATTGTTGTTGAATCAGGTCCTTTGTAATGGCACTTGATAATGACAGCTTCCTAATTGGTGCTTCTTCTTCTTCTTCTTCTTCTTCTTCTTCCTGGATTTGACTGGGCAATGCCTGTTTGCTTCGCACCACCGACGACGACAGAGTCTCATTGTTGACCTCTGTAGCAGCTTCTTTCCCAAAATCGTTCTGGTCAGTGGTGTTTTTCTCTGTTACAGCAATAGGTGTATGTCTATTCCTAATTCTTTTGTTATTTGGTGATCTGATCTTTGTAAAATATTTCCTTGCAAGAATAAGAATATGGTCCTCCGCATCGTCTTTAGAATCATCGGTATTTTCCTTTGACTTGGTTTTGTCAAGGTGTTCGTTATCAACCCGTGGAGTCTCGTCTTTGTGAGAAAATTCCTTTTCATGTTGCATCTCAACAACAGGGTTTTCAAGTTTTTCGACAACATCACCCTGCTTCTTCACTTCATGAATAAAAACATTTTTGGTCTCGACACGGCTATTTCCAATGCCAGCCACATCACCTATCTGATTTAAGGCTTCCTTCTCGTTATTAACAGTTTCTGGTACAAAAGTATGTTTTTCCTCATCCTTAGCAAGTTTCGAACCTTCCTTCTTGTTAACATCAAAATGCTTTGTTTCAATAACTGCTATATCCCTGGGAAGTGTCGTGATAACAACGGTTGTGTCATTCGCCTTATCAAAACTCTTTTCCTCGATGGTGTCGACTTCAGCCAATTTCCTAGTCTCGACCTCAACTTGTTTTGTATCATAATCATGAGTCATATCCTTATTCTCTTCTACAAACTCTTTTCCAGGTTCAACTTTATCTTCCAGTTGTTCCTCAACATCAACCTGGCCAACCTCTCTGACTGAGTGCATAACGCGAAGGTAATCAGAGTAATCACCTGCATCAAGTTCTTCTCGATCAGCCAATTGTACATTATTGCCAGCATCGTCTTTTTGTCCCGTCTGGTCTAATATACTGTCGTTCTGTTCTTCAATATGTTCCCCAATCTCTTGGAGAATATCATTATCATTACTCTGTATAGCCAGCAATATTGGAGCCTCGACTGTGGCCCTCTCTGATAAGTCCTTGACCTTCAAGTCCTCAATGAAATTTCCAGACTCAATATCATTGCTATTATTATTATTATTATTTTTATTATTGTCGTTATCATTATCATTATCATTATCATTATTTAATCTAAATGAATTGTCATAAATCTCTTCATTTATTGACAAAACATCCTGTTTCTCAGGTTTGTCGGCACTCTCTTCATGGCTTAATCCTGCTGCATCTTTTTTTGGTGAATTTACCTTCGAGACATTTGGGCTTTGATCATTAGTATTCAAAGAATTGTTCGCCGTGCTAGAAGCTTTAATCTCCTGTTCCGCTAATGGAGAAATCACCACATCAACTTCTTTTTCACCAGCCGAGTCCGATATCAAAGCCTTGCAAATGTTGTGTTCCAGATTGGTCGTTGTTCCCTGTTCATTTTCTTTGTGATTGGTGGTAATTGGTATTAGCGATGTCTCTCGCAGTTCAATTGCCGATTCTATATTTTCATCAAGCAAAGTAATATTGTTTTCCGTTTTGCTCTCCACTATTGAATCATTATTATCACTTTCGCCACTCAACTTTCTAAACTTTGAAGAAGTGAAGTTGACCGTACTGTCAAACGACAGATCAAATATACTTGGTTTCAATGTGTCACTTTTCCTCTTTCTTGTGCCTATTTGAACTGCAGCAGCCAGTTTAATCGGTTTTGGAGATGGTGATTTCTCAGATTTATCATTTCCCAACGAATCTGTAGCCAAAAAGATAGTCCCTGATATTGCATCTTTGGTTTCCAATCTTGCTTCTAACTTTTTTATATGGCTTTCATCATATTCATGTAGTCCACTTGAGTTATCTTCAAAAAGCGGCACAGGAGCAGCTCTTTTAATCACTTTTGTGTCTTTAGATGGAGATGAAAAATCCGTCAAACGTTTCTTATTGATCTCAACAGGGATCTTCTCCTCCAAGGCTGCAAATTCTTTAGTCTCTATTCTTTTATGTTTGGTTTTTTTTGGCCTTATTTGAACTATAGATTCTTCATACAACTCTTCGGAGCTGATTTCATAAACGGATGGTTCTTCCTCTGAGGGAGTGGGAGAGGGAGAAGAGAAATTGTTTGTATTTCCTTCCATGGCGTCGTTATCATCATCACCATCACCATCACTGTAGTGAATACTCTCTTGATTTTCTCTAATTTCATCTTGTAATTGAATAATTTTCTCATTGTCACTGCTATTCTTGTCACTCTTAATTGGAGTCTCGTTGTCATCTTGATTGATTTCATTGGCAGGTGAAACGTCATCATCATTATCATCAACTGAAATGGCGGCCGTTGAAACTTCCGCAGCGAGAGTATTGGCAGAGTTTTTCTTTTCTTCACAAATACCTTGCCCCGTCCCCAAAACAGGTGCTTTTGAAACATTAATAAACTCCTGTAACAAATTATCATCTGGCACCTTATCCCAGTATTCCAAGTTTTTGTCCTTTTTCCCATACAAAGAATTATCTCTCCAATGTTTTTGGTTATAAGTGTGCTTGAATGGAATTTGTACATGATTTTTCTGTGCCAAATTGCTATCGCTGGGATCCTTCCTTGTTTGGGTTCTAGTATACACGGAGTTGGTAACATTCTTAGATTTCTTTTCACTTTGATCATCTGAAAAGTTCAAACTAGTGCCAGTAACTTTGTTGATTTTAGCCAGCTTGATCGCCTTCAGGTCTTTTGGTTGACTCTTGGTAGCAAGACGCGTAGGTTTTATTTCAGGCAAGGACAGTCTTTGCAAAGAATTTTCCAAAACAGCAGCTTCTGTGGTATGAGATTGGGAGGCTTCTAAGGTTTTCAAAGGTATACTCGCTAGTTTCTTCTTTGGTAGAATGGATACTTGAGAAAATTCTGCACCAGAATCCAAATTTTGAGACATTGTTTGTGATTGGGATTGATCTAAATCAGAATCCACGTTTTGCGCTGTAGGAGCAGCCTTTGTTGAAATTCTCAACTCTTGAGAAAAATCCGAATCCAGCTCTGAATCTCGAAACAAAGTTGTTGTTACTGCCGCTTCTGCGGTGGCTGCTAGCATTGTTGATTGTAGCTGCTTTTCCGCAACATTGTCATTGTTTCCCTTTCTACAATCTGTAATTACCAAACTCTCTGCAGATTGAAGTTTCCGTGCCCTGTTTTGGTCTTCAAAAACATCCAAGAAATAACAGTAATCTCTACTATTCTTTATATGCTCTTCCATTGGATCGTCGTCTTGCTCCCAGTAATTTAACGAGCATTTACAGTACATACAAGTAACCCTATCATCTCCAAAATAAAGCGGTGCATAAACAAACCCGGCCTTGGCTAGTGAGTGTGCATTAGCCCTATACGCGTCTTTGTCCAAAGGAAAGTTTTTATAAAAACTAAGTCGAAACGCAACAGACGACTCATGGAGTGGATTCTTAAACTTTTCATGCCGACTCCAATGACTCTTGATTTCTTCATCGCTAGAAAAGTTCTGACAAGATTCATATGCCTCCTCGATTAAAGAAATGGGACAGCTTGCACTATCAGAAAGATGGCTCGATCTTATTTTTGCCAAACTTGAAGCATCTTTGAAAATAGTCGACTTTCCACAATAGGCACACATTAACCGATTCATCTTGTTTTTCTTTGGTGCAAAATAAAACCCAGCGTCTACAAGCGTAGCTAACGGAAAGTCAATAATATCATTCCAATTGCACAGTATTCCGTCGTAGTTCACAGACTCCTCAAACGTTCTGACACGTTCATCTCTGTATACCCTATCATCTTGCATTCTCAATGCTCAAATGAAGCTCAAGTCAACAGGTCTAGATGTTTAATGTTTTTATTCATAAAAGAAGGTGAAAAAAATGAAAAAAAAAAAAATTGAATGCGTTAAGCGGCTTGTAATTGGTGACGCTTAACGACACTATCGACACTAGGGAGCGAAGTGTCGGTGGTAGCTCGTAGCTCGTGTTTCTCCACTATCTCGCTCTGCTCGATAGTGTCGATAGTGTCGAGAGTGTCGAGAGTGTCGAGAGAGTAATGTATGAAAATGTTTATTCTAAATCAAACCGACTTTCAAGCAGAGCGAGAGAGTGTCGTTGAGCAGAGCAAGTGTCGGTGGCAGCTAGTGTGCTCCACCAGCTCGCTTCACTCCCTAGTGTCGAATGGGCAATGTTTATTCTAAATTAAAAGCTATGACCAACTAGTAATTGAATTGTCTTTAAAGCTTCATATTTCAATTCGTTATTACCTTGGTTATTTTCCAAAAACGACATGACCAACACCTTGTACAGTCCGCCCTTTTCTGTGTTTATAAAGTGCACCAAATCGTGACCAAGGTTTTTTATCAAGAATTGCAAATCATTCAATAATATTATGCAAATCGTTGAATCATTTCTACTGGTGTTTAAAATTTCAAATATTCTCTTGATTAGTTTGAAATTTGAATCTTTGAATTTTTGTGAGTTTTCTAACCAAAACTCGTTGGACTTGTGAGTTGGCGAAGCCCAACTAATCAACTTGGGGTTTTCTAAAGCCGTGAGATACTCGTCAAATGAAGACAACTTTGTCGAAACAACTTCATATAGGGTTTCCGATAAAAACGCGAGGTCATTGAACAACTCTTCGTCGCTTCCATTAGATGCAAATTTTCTTTCCTTTAAAGTATTCACCGTGTTCAACGCATCATGAAAGAGAAACAACTTAATCACTTTGAACTGCTCTTGTGGTGACACGCATACACTAATAAAATTCTTGAGAATTGCAACTGAGATTCTAACAATTTTCAATTTTATAGAGTCTTTTGCAATTGTGAGTAAATTCCCTGCCAACTGTGGGAAATTATGAGCAATCATTTTATTGATTTCGGCATTGAATGATAAAATCCAAGTGGCCAATAAAACATTGTATGAAAGTTGCAACCCAGTTGCATTGTGGTGACTTGCCAGTTTATCTATTAAGTTGTTGATTGGTTTGAAATTGGAGATGAAGTCATTCTGCTGAAAGATAAGTTTATATGATTTATTTGTAATTAATTCTTGAAAAAGCTGAACTCCAATGAATTGATAGTTGGAGTCTGCATTTTCAATGAGCAGCGTAATTGAGCTGAATACTTGGATAACCACCTTCTTATCAACAGTATCTTCGCCACCATTTCTCAACAATATAGTCAAATTATACAATGCCAAAGATCTTATCAACAAGTCCTTTTGCAAATGTTTGAGAAATGGCTCATACAGGTGAAGTTTGCAAAGTGAGTCTAAAAATTCTGGGACACTCAACAATAAATCATTGATCAAAGTTAACACGTTTTTAATCACATCATCCTTTTCCCCAACTTTATTCAAGATATTGAACAAATTCTTGGAGTACAAATCAAGTTGTGCCTTCACAGTGGCATCCCTATTTTCAGCCGACTGTTTTTCTAATATCTTGATATGGTTTGCATCTTCTTCTGAAACAACTCCAGATCTTGCCAAACCTTCCCATGGTATTATCCTTTCACGGATGATTTTTTTGGAATCTGAAAGAAAATTGCTGTCAATAATAAAGGGCTAAAAGAGGAGGAGGAGGGGGGATAGGTTAGTATTTGTCCTCTTTCTTCCATTTTTTAATCGACATACTATGGAAACCAGCATTCCTTCTCTATTCTTGTCAATCTTTTACTTAGTTAACTGTCAATATAATGATTAAATAGGTTGATTAATTTCAATGTCTCATATTTAACAAGCGTGAAATATTCAATTTGAACATGTGACACGACCAAATTATGATATCTTTGCTAGCACTCAAGAGTTGATCAGTTGTGAGACTCAAGAGTTGATTGAAAGAGAAACCAGTTTGTATGAGATATATTGTAAAATAAGAAGCAGATATTGTAAAGGAGAGAATTGTCTGCGTTTGACGATTCTTTTTGGACAATTTCTATTCAAACCTGGATATGAATGTTGAAAAAAGAATTAAAAATGGTAAGAAAACTTTACTATCGAGCGACACTATCGAGCGACACTATCGAGCGACACTATCGAGCGACACTATCGAGCGGAGCGAGATAGTGAAGCACACTGACAATAGCTTGTTACTACACTGACAGCAGCTTGTTACAACTCAGCAGCTTGTTACAACACTATCTCGCACTGCTCAATAGTGTTCCTCGATAGTGTCGATAGTGATAAAAAATGAAAAAAAATGTTGAAAAAAACAACTGTCTACGCCAGAAATCGAATCTGGGTCTGCTCGGCCACAACGAGCTGTACTGACCACTATACTACGTAAACATTTGATATGTTTGTAGAGTCAACATGAAGCTTTTGGTATGTAGTCAACTCTATCGAAAACCATTATCGAGAGCCACTATCGAGAGCCACTATCGAGAGCCACTATCGAGCGGAGCGAGATAGTGGAGCACACTAGCTGCAATGACACTATCGACACTATCGAGCAACACTATCGAGCAGAGCGAGATAGTGTTGTAACAAGCTGCTGAGTGTTGCTCCACTATCGAGCGACCTATGCGAGCAAAGCGAGATTGTATTCTAACAAGCTACTGAATGTTGTAACAGGCTGCTGTCAGTGTGCTTCACTATCTCGCTCCGCTCGATAGTGTGCTTCGGTAGCTGTAAAAAAATAGTTTACTAAAGTTTTATAAAAATTAGCTAAATTCTGAATTGAATTCTTGTAGTTACTCAAAATGATATCTAGACCTCAGACGCTATCGAGTAAAGCGAGATTGTGGAGCAGCATTGACTAGCTTGTTACAACATCATCAATCCCGTGTGTGTAACAATGCAATCAAACCCGTGCTCTATTACTCCAAGCTTTATCTATTTACTATAGGTTCTGTTCTATTAGAGGAGGCAAAGGCGACTCTAGTTTGTTCCACTTAATATCCTTCAGGTCCTCTAATATCCTTCAGGTCCTCTAATATCCTTTTGCTCCTTTAGTCTGTTCTATTTATTATCCTTTGACTAAAGTCACCTTCGGCTCCTCTAGTTGATTAGCGGTTGCCATGAACAGAGTAAAGATAGAGAGTACCCTCTAGAATAATTAAAAGAAAGGATATATGAACCAAAAGTGAGAGGAACATCTATTTCTACCAACAATCTCGTAAATAATTTCACCAACCATACTGAATTCACTAAAGAAGGTAGGAAAGAGAAAACTACAAGGGGCTCCATTATCGAGCAGAGCGAGATAGTGGAGCAACACTCGGTAGCTTGTTACACCACTCAGTTACAACACTCAGTAGCTTGTTTCAACACTATCTCACTCTGCTCGATAGTGTTGCTCGATAGTGTCGATAGTGTCATTGCAGCTAGTGTGCTCCCCTATCTCGCTCCGCTCGATAGTGGCTCTCGATAGTGGTTCTCGATAGTGGTTCTCGATAGTGTTCTAGGTGCCTTGCACTTCACATCAGCCGTTGTTTCATCAACAATGTATATCCTTATAATATTTGGTTGCGAAAAAAAATAATAATAAAAAAAGGGCTATGTAAAAAGCGCTATGTAAAAAGCGCTATGTTAAAAGTTCAGAGATCAAAATAATATAAAGATGACTTTGACCTAATACTTTAATCATATTTTTAGCCTAACGATTGAATCAAATGGAAAGGAATTGAAAATATTTCCAAGGCATGAATTCCTTTTACTATTATTTTCAATTCCAAATCTGATTTATCGCCCTCATTCACCCTTATGCAAAGGAAAGCATTAGTCCATGACTACAATTACCTATTTCTTTTTCTTTTTTTTTTTTGGTTCCTCCATCTAATCACACGCTGAATGACATGTTTCCCAGTAAAGCAAAACTTTGCACTGTTCAACATGCCGCTATTTGAATGGGAAAAGATCGGGTCCTCTAGCCCAAAGATTATAGACATCGTATAGTAAAAAAAGTAGAAGAGTGAAAAAGCGTAAAACAATGCCATTGAATGCCCCAAAAATAGAGCCATTATGTTGCTCAAAAAAAAAAACCCACCAAATTTTGTAAAAACCTCTCTTAATAAAAATGAAATAAAAGACGTAACCCCAATAATTAAAATTTCTATATATATATATTTAAAGTAAATTATCATGTGTCCTAAAATAACAGTTTTGATGGTCACATCAGATTAGTTTCCCGTTTCCATCTCTTGCGCACCTTTCGTCGACGGTACACTCACATGAACCAACGCCTTAATTGTATTTCTTTTTTTTTTTTTTAAATTTTGGGTAGCCGTATATACAGGACGGCAAATATGAAGGAGGTAAAAAAATTAAAACATTAAACATCTTTACTAGCTACAACACTTGACATCTTTAATAGCTACACTTGACATCTTTACTAGCTACAACACCTGACACCTTCGTCATCTGTTCCATTTTGTAACATTAGACTTCCTTTATAATTTTTGTTCTTCTAAATAAAAACCAGACATATACACCCTTATTTTTTTTATTTATATACTTATTTAATTTTTTTTTTTTTCATCTTTAAATAAAAAAAAAACATTCATTTCTTTTCCTTTTTTTCCTATTTTTATTTTAACCTAATCGCTTGTTTCTCTAAGATACTCTTTAGACATATCAGCATCAGGAATTGAACCACAAATTGTTTCCACCATTATACCGGTAACCAAGTATGGGTCAATATTAGATGCTGGTCTTCTATCTTCAAAGTAACCAAATCCTTCTTTAGCAACTGCTCTTGGTATTCTAACCGAAGCTCCTCTATTAGCGACACCCGACGAAAATGAATCTCCACTTGCAGTTTCATGGCGTCCGGTTAATCTTTGGTCGTTATCAGCTCCGTATAATAACATGTGTTCTTTGTGTCTTTTGGCCAATTTACTTAAAGCAACTTCAATAACCTTCATACCACCAGCTTTTCTCATGCTCTTTGTGGAAACATTTGTGTGACATCCAGCACCATTCCAGTCTCCCTTCAATGGTTTTGGATGGAATGAAACTTTAACTGCAAACTCTTCAGCGGTTCTTTCCAAGAGATAACGAGCCATCCATAACTCATCTCCCATATCTATACCTTCACAGGGTCCAACCTGAAATTCCCATTGGGATGGCATAACTTCGGCATTGATACCAGAAATATTGATACCGGCATACAAACAAGCACGGTAATGAGCTTCAATAACATCTCTAGCAACAACTTTACCAGTACCAACACCACAATAGTATGGACCTTGAGGAGCAGGGAAACCACCTTTTGGCCATCCATAAGGGTAGTCAAATTGGTCAAATAAAGTATACTCCTGTTCTAAACCAAACCAAACTTCTTCACCGGCATGTGCCTTCATCAATTTAGCACATTCGTGTCTGTGGTTGAACTTGTTTGGAGTACCGTCATTGTTCCAACATTCACACAAAACAATGAGATTGTCGCCCTTTCTAAAAGGGTCCGGATAAAAGGCAACAGGTCTCAAATATATATCTGAGTCATGGCCTGGCGCCTGCATGGTAGACGAACCATCGTAGTTCCATTCTGGCAAGTCATCAACACTAGATGGTTTCTTGGGTAAAGTCTTACATTTAGATCTAGTTTTACCTTCAGCATCAATCCAAACGTATTCGGCCAAAACCTTACCATTTTGCGGCAAGTCCAAATACTTGGCCAAAATGGCAGTATGCTCTGTAAGTGGTACACTCATTGTATATATTTAAAACAAAAAGGGAAAAGCTTTCTTTTTTTTTTTAAAAAAAAATTATTCAAAAGAATTGAAGTGCTGTGAAAGCTATGTTATTGAAGGGGAGGGGGGGGGGGGAAGGGGAAGGGGTGAGGTGGGGGAAGAGGGGGCTTTTGTGAGTAATACAACACGGGTCCTTTTCTACTAAATACCTTGCATTATCACGTGACACATTTATGTATTCTGGGGATCCACAGTTTTGCATCAATTTGTCATCTCATACATTGTGATTTTTTTCTCTTTAATTGAACTACTCTCTTTACACGTTTATATTGAACCCTTGGTTCGTTCATATATTAATTCCTAAATATTCTTCGTTTTAACCTTTTGATACTGTGTGTGTGTGTGTGTATTTTTAGATAAGTACACTATGGTTGAAGTATATTACCACGATAATAAAGATACAGTTGACAATTTCACTGAACCTCATGATTCAGGCAGACCAGTCTCACTAGAAGATTTATCCAAAATTGGCGTTTTCTACAAGCATATCACAACAAAAGAAGAACTCGATGCACTAGCTAACGAAAGACATTACAAGAACAGAGACGAAGTGAATTTAAATTTGGCAGCTTTTAATAATGATATGAATGCATATAATGCCAAAATGCAACAATTCTATAAAGAACATTACCATGAAGATGAAGAAATTAGATACATTGTTGAAGGCGAAGGTTACTTTGATGTTAGAAACACAGGCGATGAGTGGATAAGAGCAAAATTAGTCCCCAATGATTTGCTAATCTTGCCTGCTGGAATTTATCATAGATTTACATTGACTGATGCATTGAAGCTGGTTAGAGCTGTTAGATTGTTCAAAGATCAACCAAAATGGGAAGCAATCAATCGAGATTCTGGAAGAGAGTCTGAGGCTCGCTTATCGTATGCTAAAACAGTGGCTGTTTGAAGTAAATGATGTGTGTGTCTGAGGCTCGCTTATCGTATGCTAAAACAGTGGCTGTTTGAAGTAAACGATGTGTGTGTGTGTGTTTGTAGGGATCATCCTTTTACAATCTTGATTTTATTCTTGGTTATCCACAGTTCTAGTTTTGTCCGATTACTCTTTAATTCTTCATCAACTTTTTTCTTCTGTTCTAACAATTGATTTTGTTCATCACTTAAAATATTTAAAACTTCATCAATACTTTTTTCAACCAAGACACCACCAATCATTTTAAAACATTTCCTACCACCCTGTCTCTCAGTTGGAGGTATCGAGTTCAATGTTTGTTTGACAATTATATGCTCTTGCGCTTGAGACGCTAATGCCTGTGATTGTTGATCCAATTCTTGGATTAGTTTCTGTGACCTATTGTATTCCTGTTGCAAGATTTGTGATTTTTGTTCATCAACCGCGGTAGAGGATTCTGTTGATGTCGACATTTCAATTGTAGCTCTACAATGTCTTTCAAACAAGTATTACTCAATGACTACAATAAAAGCAGCGTATAGAAAGGTTACTTGGTGTAAAAAGTTTTTTTTTAACAGTATATCTCTTTACTATGGAAAAGTCTCCATGTGGTAGCTCTTCGTTAATCAACTTTTACCGCCCCCCCCCCCCTACTTGAATAAACTTCAATATGAATAATCATGCGTTTCACCAGTCTTCTCCCCTCCATCCGTCTTCTTACGTATTTCCCCTCTCCTCTTCCCCTAATCTTTATCTCGAAATGACTCTTTATATAAAGTGAGCTTTCTTTCACTAAAAAGAAAAAAAAAAGCCCCAGTTTCCCAGTTTCCCAGTTTCGTAACTTCCTATATTAACCTCAAATCCTTATTTTAATCAAGAGAATGACCTTGAGAAATCCCCTTTCACCTACTTTTATTACAACAAAACAAGCCTTGATTGCTGGTGGTGTTGGATTTGGTGTATACGCTTTGTTAATGTTTCGTCTTTATCCTCGACACAATAGGATCAAAACCATTTTCGAAGAGAGTGATGAATACTTTAGAGAAGACCACCCTAAAAGAACAAAAAGGAATAAATAAAAGAAGCCCATATAACTACATTTGATATATGATAAGGAAAATTGTAAGTTAATTAGCAATGAAACATCCATATCCATTTAATCTCTACTCTTTATCATCATATCCATTTAATCTACTCTTTGTCATTTACTCTTCATCATCCTCTCCTTCAGTGGAAGCCTTCTCCAAGCTAGTTAACAACTCACCCAACTTTTTAGCGCCAACTTCAAAGTATTCTTTTTGCGCTTGTACAAGGATTTTCAACAAATCGATATTTTTTGAAGGTTTCAAAATCTTTTTCATTTCAATTACTGCTAGTTCAGTAGCGCTAACCAACTCATCTTCTTTAGCAATCAATTCCTCATTTTCTGGGTCTTGTGTTTCGTGTTTATGTCTCAATTGGTCAAATTGACTTCTTGTCAAATAGACTTTCTTACGTAACTCATTAACTTTGATAAACTGCTGATTCAAAATATCAACTAGTTGATGATTCAAATTTTGAATAATCTTGTCATCTTGGATCAACCTTGCTACTGCAATTTCGTGATATGACGATGAAATCTGTAAAAGCGCAAATGATAGCGAGTTCAGTTCAGAGCTTTCCTTTTTCAATTCTTCGCTTTGCTTGACTAACAATTCACTTAAATGACCAAATAGAGTCTTTGGTAATAACGGTGAAGTTGGAAAAATTTCGACATTGTCTTTAGTTGATCCATAGTTTGAACCTTCTTCTTTTTTTTCTTGTTCGTCTTGTTCATCTTGTTGTTGTTGTTGTTGTTGTTGTTGTTGTTGTTGTGCTTTTTCTTGTTGCTGTTCTTGTTGTGCTTTGGAACTTGTTGTTGCTTGTCCTAATAATACCTTTTCCAACTCTTGTGGTGACGAGACGTTTTTCAACTGGTTGAATTTGGCGCCAATTATATTCCCAACATGAACTTCTTTTATTTTGTTGATTGTCGAGTTGCTTGGAGGGTAATCATAGCTTACTTGCCCATATGTAGCATTAGTGGTTTGTATCAAACTCGTATATAACTTTAAAAGTAAGTCACAGTTGACCTCTAATTGTAGGTAATCCTTTGGCAATTCGCTAACTTCGATGTTTGGATCTTGAGAATTCGAAGCTAACTGCTGTACTTGTTTCAATTGTTCACTTATTAATTCCTGAGTTTTAGTAGCAAATGGTTGAATTGATTTACCAAACTGTTCAACAGTTTTAGAAGGATCAACTTTAGCAAAACTCTCACGTATTTGATCTACCGACGGTAATGATTCTTGAATTGACTTCAAGTCAAATGTCGGAAATTTAAACGACATTACAACCAATCCTGTGTATATATACCACCGATACCAAACTAAATCACTATATCACTATAATAGCCACTTTATAATAGAGACAAGTAAAGAAGGGAGAGAAAAAAAATAATTATATATATATATATATATATATATATGTATATGGCTCGTTTGTCCTTAAGAGAAATGCAAAGCGAGGAAAAAAGAAAAATCTTGCGTGTGCATCTTGTGGCGCGGGAAAATTAGCCGCTGATACCAAAACCGTCGGTAAGACCACAACGACGAGGTAGATTGGTAGATCTAGTTTTAGGCCTCATAGATATTGAGAGAGTATTGTTGTAAGCTCTTTTCAAAGTGCACTATCGAGCAGAGCGAGATAGTGTTGACTAGCTCTGCTCGACAGTGTCGACTAGCTCTGCTCGATAGTGTCACTCGATAGTGTCACTACTAAGTGCTGCTCCACTATCTCGCTTTGCTCGATAGTGTCGATAGTGTCACTACTAAGTGCTGCTCCACTATCTCGCTTTGCTCGATAGTGTCGATAGTGTCACTGCTAAGTGCTGCTCCACTATTTCGCTTTGCTCGATAGTGTCGATAGTGCTCTCTCTTTTCCAGTAGATGAAAAATTTAGTTTTTAGTTTCTCATCTCAACAAAGTTTACAAGGTGATGAGGAAAATGCCATTTGAGGAAACAAAAAAGACGAGTGTTTATTACAAGAAACAAGCATCTTATCATGACAAGCGAACAACCACAAACTTATCACATTTGATTGAACCAATAATACGACATCGTATTTTAGATTCCATTTTTTATAAGCAATATCTTTATTTGACCAATGAAGCTACAATATTGACAGTTATTACTGAGCAAGTGAAATATGTAGGCGGTGTTGACTCTATAGGAAGACCGTCTCCCTTTCTACAGTCGTTATTTCGAATGCTTGAATTGGCTCCTTCAAAAGAGATTATCGATGTTTACTTGCACCAATTGAAATTCAATGAATTTAAGTATTTGGTAGTATTAACGTTACTTTATATAAGATTGACGTTTACAAGTGAAGAGATATATACGATTTTCGATAAGTTTAGCCAAGATTTTCGAAAATTGAAATTCAAATTGAAAAATTCCCATTTCGATTCAAGGAGATTACCGATTTTTTATAAAATCATCTATATGGATGAGTTTATCGACGATTTGTTAATAAAGGACCGAGTCGTGGATTTAACCTTGCCGAGGTTAATTCCACGATTGCTTTTGGTCGAGCGGGGGTTAGTAGCTCCTCGCCAATATTTTCTTGACAAAGAGACACGTTCCGAAACAGTTATTGGGCAACGAGTGTCGCCTCATCAAGAAGATGATAATAATAGCGATATCTATGAAAGTGATAGTGACTAATAGGAAACACTATCGAGCAGCGACACTATCGAGCGGAGCGAGATAGTGGAGCATACTGACTATACAGGCACTGACTACACTGACACTGAGTGTGCTCTGGTCTATCGACACTATCTCGCTCTGCTCGATAGTGTTGTAATAAGCTACTGGGTGTTGATTTGCACTCTTCGGGCTGGATCAGTCAAGTAAGGTTATTTAGTTCAGAAATGAAGATGGATAAGAAATAATGGTATATAGAGCTTACACGCGGATTTGATTGCACCACTATATCGCTTTGCTCGATAGTGGTGAAAGCGAGAGGTGCGAGAGAGAAATAGTGTGTGGTGGCAGCTAGTGTGCTCCACTATCTCGCTCTGCTCGATAGTGTCTGCTCGAGAGTGTCTGCTCGAGAGTGTCAAACAACTCCTACCTCATTCCAGTCCCAAGCCCCTTCCGCCCTATATATAAATACGCTTTATTTTATTTCCCACCATCCTCTTACGGTTCAAAGCTTTTCCCTCTCTTTCTTTCACTGCTATGTAAATATTTTTCATTAATCTGTCTTTTCTTTTTTTCTTCTGGCTTTCGACACGAAACTTCTACTTCCTCCTCTTCCTCCTCTTCCTCCTCCTCCTCTTCCTCCTCTTCCTCCTCCTCCTCTTCCTCCTCTTCCTCCTCCTCCTCTTCCTCCTCTTCCTCCTCCTCCTCTTCCTCCTCTTCCTCCTCCTCCTCTTCCTCCTCTTCCTCCTCCTCCTCTTCTTCTTCATTATTGAGCGAGTTCTCCAAAGTAAATGGGATTAATTTTTTCCCCCATCAATGAGATATAAATGACAGTTACAAATTTAACAGAACAGAATGACCAAGACTCAAATGGAGCAAGCATTCATGCCATATCCAAAACTAAAATCATATTTGTTACTGGACTCTTTATTATCTCACTAGCCGCTTTTGTACTACAAACGGAATTCACATCTCAAGCCTATCAATTAAAATATAGTGAACCGATTTTGCTACTAGCTGTGACACATGGTTCGTGGTGGACCTTATGGCCCATACAAGTGCTATTTGTTTCAACTTGGAGGACTATACACAAGAGGAGCAGGCTCATCAAAGAGTCAAGGACAAGGACAAGGACGTTAAGCAATACCATTGATGAACCTATTCAGTATCAAAGACTAACTGGCGATCGTCAAGATTTCCAACAAGATCAACAAGATGTAGTTGTTCCTAATTACGTTTCTTACTTTAAGAAAGCAATAGTCAAACAATTCCACAATGTTTATCACACAGCAATACTCATTTATGAATCCAACGTTCATGAAAATAGATCGACTACACATCTCAATCAAATTATAGAGAATAGTGTTCAAATTTCATCAACAGATTCAATTTCGGCGTGCATAAAACTGTTTCTAAAAACACCAGCAATCCAATATATCTTGTATAAGGTGATGCTTGTCACAGTGGTTTTGACCATCGCTGGATTTACGTGGTACGGTGCAATGAGCATGACTTATGCAGCCGATGTCACTGCCATATATAATTGCTCTGCATTCACCGCATATGCATTTGCAGTGTTGCTCTTGAACGAAAAATTTGCCTGGTTGAAGATCAATTCAGTCATAATTGCACTTATTGGTGTATTTATTGTTTCATACTCCGCAAGTGACACTGATAAAGTTGACGAAAAAAATGATGGCTCTAATTCGGAGAAGAACCCGCATCCTTATAGGTTTTGGGGTAATGTGATTATCTTTATTGGTGCAGTATTGTATGGGTACTACGAGGTGTTATACAAAAAATATCTTTGCATTCCGGAACACTTGACCAAGATTATCACACCGAGGAGACAATTAACTTTTGCCAATTTTATAATGGCATTATTGGGGGCTTACACATTGGTCATATTGACCGTTTTAATGCTCTTTGTTGAAGTTTTCCATATCCACAAGTTTAACTTTTTCAATTATGGAGAAAATACTCGTAAGATATGGCTATACATCCTTGGCTCAATTATCAGCAATTTACTATTTAGCGCATCATTTTTGTCGTTGATGGCATTGACCAATCCGGTTTTATCATCAGTGAGCTCTTTGTTGACTATTTTTCTCATTGGATTAGTTGAGTGGTTGGTCTTTGATAACACTTTAGATTTACAGCAAATTATAGGTGATTGTTTTGTTATCGTTGGGTTTATCATGTTAACTACAGCTTCTTGGAAAGAGATTAGTGAAGGAAACGAAGATGATGATGTAGAAGCTGTAAGTACATACTCTTTTCCAACGAGTACCAATGAGAATCGTTAAAACTATTGCCTTGTATAATAGATATTCAAACACTAATGTATAGAGTATTTAGGTAATGAGATGTCATATATTCAACAGAATGAGCTCTTCCATTATCTTGTTCTTCTTCTCTCTCCTGCACTTTCTTCTCCTACAAACTACTCTTCAACCCAAGTACTTTTGCAATTGGTAGAGCATGAAGCGGAATTTTTTATCTTGCAGCTTTATTTGCTACCAATTGTTGTTTTTTTTGCCCTTAAAATGGATCAGTATCAATACCACAAAATCTCTTTCCCTTTGATTAGCCCATGATTCGTGAAGAATGACGGTAGATGATCATGATGTCACCGGTTTCCAAAGCTTGATGAGCTCGTTGAACTTAAACATTGATCAATTCAAAAATTACGATCCAGCTAGTTTCCCTGCTTACACATTCAAACAGCTACTGAACTTCAAATCGGAGATAGAATTTCAATTGAAAGTACTCTTCAATTTGCTTGAACAAAAATATGGGGCTAACATGGAGACTCCGCTCGTCACGTCCGATGGGTTCCCCAGAAGCGATATTGACGTTGTAACAATAAGACTACTTCGTGTTCAGATAATAAGATTAAAAAATGATTACAAGGAGGTGCTTAGAGTGATTGATTTGAAATTGGAAGAAGAGTTTAGAAAACGACAATTGGAAGGAGGAGAAGGAGGAGGAGAAGGAGAAGGAGAAGGAGAAGGAGAAGGAGAAGGAGAAAAAGCAAGCTCGGGGGTTGCTCAAGAGCAAAAGCCTGAGATTCCGTTTGCCCAAGTGAGAGAAGTTATAGCTAATGGGCCTGCTGAATCTGCAGGATTAAAAGAAGGCGATTGTATTGTTTTATTTGATAGAGACATTCATGCATTGAATCATGGTAAATTATCCAATTTGGTTGAAAGAGTTAAACAGAAAGTCAATCAGAATTTGGAAATAAAAATACAAAGACGCGAACAAGTCAAAGTATTGAGTTTGAAACCAACAAGTCAATGGGGAGGCCAGGGTTTGCTAGGTTGCAGAATAGTTCCTATCTAGCTTATATTTCCTTTTCTTTTCACCTTCTATTCTTTTTTTTTATATTCTTTTTTTTTTTTATTTCCTTTTTTGATTAACCACCATGGAGGGTACTTGTAAATGTCAAGACGTCGCCATTCTCAACGAGATATTCTTCTTTTCCTTCTAATTCCCAGTCTGTATCATTTATCAAGACTAATATCCCTGCGCGCACAGTATCATCTTCGATAAAAACAGGTATATCTTTAGGATCAGTTATTAAATGATGAGTAATATAATCAAGAGCCTCTTTCATCGTGGCTTCGCCTTCCTCATATGGTAAATTCACCTTGTGCTCTTTCACTGAGGAAGATATCACATCCAAGCCGCCGAGAAACTCGACCTTTACTTTTATGGGCATGGGCCTAAAAAAAATTTAACAATACCTCAAGCAAATCAAGAAAAGACAAGAGATGAGATGAGATGAAGCCCCCCTCCACTCCCCCCTTTGTGAAACTTGCCTATTTGCGGCATTGACAAAAAAATGAAAAAGAATCAGACACGTTTCGACACGACACCAAACTGAAAAAAAAAAAAAAAAAAGACAAGTAGTGAGAGAGAGAAAGAGCGGTATTGGGTAATTAGTGTTACTTATACCAGCTCAAGCACTTCCCCCCTTAGCAGCATTTCCAAGTATAACGATGCTCGGTTTCCTAACTTTATTAGTGAGCTATTTGTATCTAGCAATTGTAAATGCTTCGGCCAAAGGCCTTGAGGAGGAGCATGTTTTGGTTTTGTTTGATCCGGAAATAATTGCATTAAATGATTCAAGTGCTAATTTAACACCGGAAGTGACACATTTCATGCAGCATTTGAATTCCAAATACAAGACTTTTGTTGGCGATTACAATGATGTAGATATACTGTTATTTTCTCAAGATTATCCAAAGTTTGACCATTTGGTCTTATTTCCTACACTGAAAAAGAGCATAAAAAACCTGGCCAATTTAAACCAGCATCAATTACTCAAATTTTTTAACGCAGGTGGTAATATTTTTGCAATTGGCGGCTCAGATGTGACCACTACTGAGGGGATCAACTCTTTTTTGAATGAATTGGGTATTTATCCATCGCCAAAGAGTTATAGATATATTGACCATTTCAACACTGAGAAAGATGGTGTCGTTGAACTAAAGCAAGAGGAAAATTTAGTGCAAGAGAATAGAATTTTAAAACTGTTGAAAACTGTTGAGTATAAAGGAAATGCTGCGTTAATTTCAAACAGCGAATTAATCCAGCCAATTGTTAAATCGTCAAAAACCGGCTATACGAATAAGGTTGGAGAGACGATGAATGGGAAAAACACCTGGACTTTTGGTGAGCAGGGATATTTGGCAGTTGGATTCCAAGCATTGAATAACGCAAGATTAGTATGGATAGGCTCAGAGAGTTTGTTAGCTGATGATGCCTTATTCAAGTGGTGTTTTCAAGAAACAGGTGTAATCAAATTACAATTTGTTCAGCATATGAAGGCCGACGAACCTGAAAAGATCAATCCTCATCTATACAAGATTAAGGATGAAGCCATTTACACCATTGGTGTCTCTGAACTCGTTGATGGTAAATGGGTTCCCTTTGAGGTTACAGAAGAAGAGGACCAGTTTCAATTATCATTTAAGATGTTAGATCCTTACCAAAGGTTGAACTTGAAGCCATTGGGTCCTGTCAGCACATCTCTGGAAAATAAAAGTGCATTAGATGCTTATGCTTACCATATCAGTTTCACAGTTCCTGATCACCACGGTATGTTCACTTTTGAGTTGGACTATAAGAGACATGGTCTAAGCTACATCTTGGATAAAAAAGTGGTGACTGTGAGACATTTGGCTAACGATGAGTTTAAACGATCATGGGATATTTCTAATTCATGGTTATACCTTGCAAGCACCGCACTTGTTATCTCTGCTTGGTATTTGTTTGTGATTACTTACATATATATTGGAAAACCACAAAATAGTGCAAAGAAAAACTTGTGATAGATAGAAGGTGAAAACCTACAAATTTTGATCTTAGAATCTAGCTGGTTATAGGAAAAAATTTGTATATTTAGAAAGGACTGAGATTTGAAATACTTGTTAGTAAAAAAAATTTTCAATTTCCTCTTGAAAAAATGGTGCTTGACAATTTTGCTAGAAAATCAGATACGTTTTTCTACTATCTTTCTACAACTATCTTCAAAGTGAAAAAAAACTCAGTTGTCCCTATCAGTATATTCATCATTTCATAAGAAATTTGCCAAATCACGTCCAATTGTTCACACATACGATTTCATATCCTTTGTCTAAGGAGGAAGAAGATGATGAGAATGTAAAAAAAAACAGAAGAGAAGGAAAAAAAACAAAAAAAACAAAAAAAAATTAATCTGAGATTTTGTAAGTTCATCAAGGTAACAGACAAAAGTTGTGTTTCAAAATCTTTGAAAGTAAAAAGAAAAGGGACAAAAAAAAGCAAGGCTCCAACTTACAGCTGTTATTTCGTTAGTTGAATAGACATTTTATATATGATCAGTTGTTATTGGAGATAAGGCAGCCTGTTTTTTTTTCTTTTCTTTCCGTTGAATTTGGAGGGACTATGTTTCATTTAGCATCATCGTTGTATACTCAATATACAAAACGAGAGCAGTACAATATACTAATACTTGGATTAGACAATGCGGGAAAAACAACATTTCTTGAGCATATAAAACTACTATATTCCTCTTCGCCGGCAGACACGTCAAAGAAGAACACCTTGTTCAAGAACGACCGTGCTAGAGGTGACACCGATTTGGAAGAAGGGCTAGAGTCCACATCTACTTCGACGATATTGAAATCTAAACGAATACTACCAACAGTAGGACAAAATACAACAACGATAAAATTCGAAGCGTCAGATAAGAACTCGCCGTTTGCAGCACAGTTTAATAATATAAATCTCAAGTTCTGGGATCTTGGAGGGCAAAGGTCTTTAAGAAATATGTGGAGCCGATATTTCAAACAATGTCATGGTATAATATTTGTCATTGACTCTACTGATACTGCTAGGTTTCAAGAATGTTACGAAACCTTGATCGATATAGCTAATCATGATAGTTGGCTTGTGGACAATAGTGAGGGTCAAGAAATTGATCAAGAAAGAACAATTGGTATTGATGGTACAGTAAATGTTCCAATTCTAATGCTTGCTAATAAACAAGATTTACCGCAGGCCGTTGATCTAGTTAGCTTAAAAACAGGTGTGTTTATCAAATTAGTAAGCGAGTTAGAAGCTACTGACTCTAAATTGTTACCTGTTAGTGTATTGGAAAATCAAGGGTTGAAAGAAAGTTTGGAGTGGTTGGTAACGAGGTTGATATATAATAAGGGAAACAAGCGTCCTGAATATAAATGATTTAGTAACTTGCATTGATAGTAGTAATAAAAAGCCAAACATAAAAAAAAAAATAAAAAACCCTTGATTTAATGTTTTTCAAATCGATTACAAAGATGATCTCAGTAGTTCTCTCTTTTTATTCTTTTTCTTCAACAACACATACAACATCAAACCCATGTTTCCGTAAATAAGCTATCTTGAAATAAATTGCTGCGAAATTTCGTCATCAAGGAGGGGGGAGGAGGGGGGAAGGGGGGAACAGTTGAAATTTTGCAATAATATCATCTTTGTGAGAACAAAAGCTACAATGTGAATCACTAAAGTTGATCCTCCAAAATTTTCCTTCTCCCCTTCCCCGATCTGAAGGATTTCAAGCTAGTACCAACTTTTGCTGAGTTTGCTGGAAACTTTATATATACATGTCTCACTTGCATCAACTTTGATAGAGACTATGAACATAAAAAAAAAACACTTTGCCGCGTCTCTTCACGGCCATACTAATACTTGCTTTTAGCATAGCCAAAAGCCCATACTGTTCTATTGTAAACTCGAGTTATTGTGCCAAGTGATGCAATATTCAAATATTACACATTCTATTACCCAAATCTCCATTTTTTTATTCATCTTATCTGATATTCGGTATTTGTGAGACATCCGGTAGCGGTATTTACTCTTTTTAACCGGTTTTACTATTCAACCGAACAGGAATCTTCGGATTTGGCAAAAAAAAAAAGAGAGTACTCAGCTTTTCAACAACTTTTAAACTAGTCAACACAAGTCAACACAAGTTTAACTTGTTGTAATTGTTAGTTGATAGCGTGACGGTTAGCTGTTTTTCCATTTTCGGCTTTAAATTAGTCGAGAAAAAGAGGTTTGTACCACGTGTCGGTAAACAGTGATGACGGAAAATGGGCCCAGCCTTAATGATTCTTTAAGAATAAGCTCTTCTACAAAGTCCTGCTCATTTGCAAATAAGCATTTGTCTCCATGGTTTTTGGAAAGAGCAGCGTTAAACAATATATATATATATATATATATAAAACTGGTTAAAGCAGCTTCTTGGCAAATAGTTGCTTCTTCGTATTTCTTTGTAAAGCATAAGTTTGCCATCTTTATCTTGATCATTCTTTTCACCCCCTTTATTTTCTAAAATTAGGGGGTTATTTTTTGACATTATTTTATTCCAATTTTTTATTTTTTTTTCCTGAATCATGATTGCTTTCTGTTCAGGGTTTAGAATGTAAAGGAAGGAATTTCATAAGCAAGGTACGATAAGAGTCTGTTTAATCAAAAGAGAGAATTTACCTTCCTATTCAAAAAAGCTTCTCTGTTCATCGTCTCCCTCCATGTCAACCTCTAACTAAAATTTAAACGATGCACAATTTGAGCAGCTTTTGCTCAAATATAGATGCCTTATCTATTTGAGAGAAAAAGAAAGAAATGGTAAATCAAAATTAAATTTTAGATTAGAATGAAAAATAAGAAAGCAAAAAAAAAAAAAAAAAACCCCTTTAGGTGTAGGACCTCTTTATTACAGCGTTAAACATACCAAGAAAACTAAATTAGTTGCTTCCACAACAACCGCCCCCAAACTACAAGTGTGGCACTTCTATCATGGGGGAATTGACACACTTCTTCTTCTCAGTAGATATTGAAATTCCTCTAAAGAAAGGTAAAGAACAATGTAAAAAAAATTAGTAAAAAAAAAACAAAAAGAGGCAATTGAAAAGTGATGACTACTATAAGCAAAGCAAAGGAGTGATGAATCCCACAACCAACTAAAGAACATAAAAAAATGAAATAGCAATTGAAACTAACATTATTTTAAAATACGTTTGAAATCTAAAATAAAAATGTGTAGTTTGTTCATGTATATATAAAGATCACAATTACTCTCGTTAGTTCCGAATCTGCCTTTAGCAATTAACGAAATTACAATCAAATACTTGTATTACTTATACGAATAGTTATTACTGCCTAGGAAAATCTAAAAGTTTTAAAGCAAAATAAAAAATAAAAAAATGAGTTCCTCAGAAGGTACGTTCTTTTCCAAATTAAAGAACACTTTGAAAGGGGAAAAGGATACCGATTCTTCTCCCAATCCTGAGAAATATCAAGACGAAGCACGCAAAGAAGGCGAAAAGTTGTTCCATGAGCAGCATGGTGACACTACCGGTAGTGGCGGAACCATAAGTTCGGGAAAAACTAGCAGTCCAACATCTCATGCAAAGACTGCAGATACAAAGCATGAGAATATTCTTAAGGAAGCATGGGAAGAAGGAGAGAAATTGTTTCACCATCATGCCACTGCAGGAAAAGATAAAACACTGTTTGAAAAAGGAAAAGTAGGTGCAGCAGGAACCACAGATAGCTACGCAGCAAGCTCATCCAAAGGGCGTGTTGTATCAACTCCACCAAAACCTTCAAGAGAACCACTTGCACACGAAATTCCTGGAGATTACTCAAATTCAAAGAACCCAACTGATCCAACTGTTGTTGCTAATGAGAGTAAAGGAAGTTCTGGGTCGGATAATCACCTTCAAACAACCCCAAACATTGTTGAAAACACCAATCCAAAATACAGCGACCAATCCAAGCAAGCTCAAGGACATGGTAAATTTTTCGATCCAAGAGATACGCAAGGTGGTCTACTTCAAGGCGCTACCAGTTCCACAGGTGCTGCAAATGCTTACAACCAGCAAGGAGATTCTCAATTGTCTCATCAAGAAGCTACGAAAGCTCATTATGTTGATACCGAACACTTGAAGACGAAACCTAGTGAGTATGAGCAAAGAGATAGGGAAAATAACCAAGTAGAGCTGATTAAGGAAGAAGCATATAGAGAAGGTAACAAGCATGGTACAAAGGCTTCTGATGATGATAATGCTCATCTGAGATCAAAACAAGTTGGTGGTTCAGGAACCACCACTGAGAAGAATAAATATGATAATGATGACGAGGCAAGAGCTGTTCACCAAGAAAACAAATCGGCATACAATCCTGATGGAGTCCAAGGAGCTTTTGAAAATGAATATGGTCGTCGCCCAGCTAATGAAACTAAGAAGGAAAAAAGTGACCCAACGACGATTTCTAGTGGCAATGCAGTTTATGGCGGCTCAGGTGTTGCTACTGCTCAAGTCGACGGCTATGATCCTGTTGCCAACGATCGTAAAATTGCCGAACTCGATAGAGAAATCAACAAGACTGACAATAAGATTAGAGAGTTAAAGCAAGACCCTTCCAATGCGTCTGTTTTTGCTGTTCGAGACGAAACTGTTCAAACACCAAAATTATCAAATGTTCATGAAGATTTCGAAAATACTCAAGCAGACAAAAATTCCCAAGGCAATGCTAATCAGAGTCAAGGTGTCTTAGCTGGCGCCACCGGTGCTTTAGCAGCTGCAGCTGGTTATTTAGGGCTCAATAAGTCTTCAGATGTGCAACAACAACAACAACAGCAGCAGCAGCAGGGAACATCAAATATTGAAAGTATCAAAAAGGAGGCCCATGATGCTGGGTTTAAGCAAGGCGAAGATCTCTATCGCGGACTCGGTAAGGATAGTAGGGATGGTTTAAATGCTCAAGTTGGTGGTGCCAAATCCGATGCATACAATGAAGGCGTTAGGTCAGGTGCATACGAAGAAGGCGCTAAGTCTGGTGCATACGAAGAAGGCGCTAAGTCAGGTGCATACGAAGAAGGGGTCAAGTCAGGTGCATATGACCAAGGCATCAAATCAGGAAAATCAGATGCCAAGCAAACCGCACATGAAGAAGATCAACGCCCTGGTATAATTGAAGGAGCTAAGCAAGCAATGGGAGGTGTAGCAACAACTGCAGCTGGATACTTGGGCATTAATTCTTCATCTAATAAGGATAATGCAACTGAAGCTAATACAGCCTATTCTTCCTCTCAACACAAGGATATTCTTGACGCATCTTATGCTGCGGGAAGACAAAAGTACGAGGATGAAAGAAGATCAGGCACAGCAAAACACGGGGTGTCTTCTAGTACTGGAAAGAGCATTATATCTCACAATATAATTAATGATGAGCGCAAAGTTTCTGAATGGAACAAACAGCATGGGTTCATTGAGCCAATAGAAGGACAGCCCGTTACCGAGGAGGAGCAAGATGTAAAAGACTCGATGCTTAAGGATGCTGAAAAAGTCGATCCCTCAATTGACAGGTACCCAGCTCACAAAATCAGTAAGGCGGATACTAAGCCAGAGGTTACCGAAGTAAAGCAAGAGGCTATTCCATCTTACAAAGGAAGCGAGGGGGAGATCAAAGCTTCTGAATGGAACAAACAGCATGGGTTCATTGAGCCAATAGAAGGACAGCCCGTTACCGAGGAGGAGCAAGATGTAAAAGACTCGATGCTTAAGGATGCTGAAAAAGTCGATCCCTCAATTGACAGGTACCCAGCTCACAAAATCAGTAAGGCGGATACTAAGCCAGAGGTTACCGAAGTAAAGCAAGAGGCTATTCCATCTTACAAAGGAAGCGAGGGGGAGATCAAAGCTTCTGAATGGAACAAACAGCATGGGTTCATTGAGCCAATAGAAGGACAGCCCGTTACCGAGGAGGAGCAAGATGTAAAAGACTCGATGCTTAAGGATGCTGAAAAAGTCGATCCCTCAATTGACAAGTACCCAGCTCACAAAATCAGTAAGGCGGATATTAAGGAGGAGAAAAGTCTTCCACCTGGTGCCACGCCTGAGGAAGTAGAAACTGCTGAGTCTAGAGAATTTAAGGAATTGGAGAAGGAAACAGCTAGATATAACAAGGAGCATGGTTTTGTGGGTGATAATGGTAAAAAATCATTGATTGAAGTTGCTGAGGAGGTTGACCCAAGCATTGAGAGCTTACCTACTCACAAAAAACAAGCAGTAGACGAAAACCTTTCTAATCAAAGTGAACCATCTGGAGGCGACGTACAACCGTTACCTGCCCAAACCCCTACCGTGAGTCATAACGAAATCAAACAAAATTTAGGTCTCGCTAGCCACGATGCTGGTGGACACGGAGGTTCGGCGAGGCATCGCACGCCCCCCGCCAAAAAATTAAATGATGAAGAGAATGCTAGTAACAATGATGGCAAATCAAACGATAGATTAACTGGTAATAAGGATTTGCATGCCCACAAGAAGAATGTATCTGGTGCTTCGTTCAATATAACTCAACCAATTGGAGCATCAGAATTGAATAGTAATGAGGGACCAGTGTTGGACTCTAGCTTGAGAAAAGAAATATACGATCATGGTTTCAAAAAAGGTACGGCTGACCAAAGTACAGCTAGTAACCAATTTTCTGGAGCTGTGTCTGAATTGCATCCTACATTGAGAAAAGAGCTTTATGACAGTGGATATGCTCAAGGAAAAGGGGACGCAGAATATGTTACTGCTGCTGCTGCTGCTGTTCCCAGTCGTGGGTTGACTCAATCCGATTCAGACACGAAGCAAGATTTTAAGAACTTAAAGCGCGACTTGTATGAGCATGGATATGCCAAAGCAAGTGGTGAGAAAAGAGCTGAAGATTTTGTCAATAATGTACAACGAGACACACAAAATTCTGGCACTTCTGCCTCGGTTGGTTCTGTTTCAGGCTACGATTTGCGTGACAAGAATGAATATGGTCAACCGGGAGAACGTGTGCCCATTGATAAAAGGTCCGAGCTTGTGGGTGAAGAAACTGCCCACAGAAGGGGTGAAGATAGCACCAACAATCTTGTTGTTGAAGTTGTTGGTATAAGCGATAAGGACAAGGCATTAAGAGCAGCAAGAGATGCGTCAAGAAAATTAGAGGAGAGAGGAGTTGACATGACATCTGGAAAATTGGTTATTGATGCAAACAGTAGAAAAATTTATAAGGAAGAATATTCCGCGAGAGGAGATGGATCTGATCAAACTGCTGACGTTTCCGAGTTGGCTAGGCAACGGTTGCATGAAGCTGCTAGGCAAAATGCGGGAATTAGCGCAGAAACTGGTGGTGCTACTCCTGTCACCGCCACAGATGGAGCTGGAACTGTCTCTGCCACCCTGAAACCAATAGAGTCATCCAGAGATAGGAATATCGACGGTGATGATGATGATGATGAGATCTTTGTCAATGTTAAAGGAATCAAGGACAATACTTTGGCAACGAAAATTGCAAAGACAGCCGTCGCAAGGCTACAAAAAACACACGGTGCAATAGTATCTGAGGTTAAAGAGTTGCTAGTCGATGCTAGTTCGGGGATTGTTAAAGACGAAAACGGCAACGTAATTGCTTGTTATGAAGATTTGGCTGTTGGAGGTACAAAGTCTAGTAAACCATTCAGTCAAAGTTTGTCATCAGATAAAGCTTATGATGAACACTCGTCAACTGTTAATTCCACAAGCAACCGTTTACCTGCCAAAGGTGCAGGTGCAGGTGTAGGTGTAGAAGGAAATAATTTGGCAGTTGCAGCTGCCCAAAATGCTTCTACAAAATATCCCCATTTGACAGAACCCACTCACCAGACAAGTGCAAATACTGGCAAGTACGACTATGCTTTTAAAAGCGAGGTACAGCCACCATTTCCTTCTGGCAGTAAAGGAGCTCTGAAAGGCACTTCAATGCCTGACCATGGTCATTCGTACAGTGAAAACAAGATTCATTCAAGTGGTTATCTGAATGACAATAGTATAGCTGGTGCTGCTGGTGCTGCTGCTACTGGACACGACTCATATTCAAAATCAACTGCTACTTCTTCATTTGATGGGTCTGCTAGTGAACCTTCGAGTGGCTTACCAACACACTCCAACTTTGACAATAAGGAATTTTCAGATAGCGCATATTCTAATAATAGGCTGAGACAATCACAAGGTGGACTGCTCTTGGGAGAATCTAGCTCTGCCGCATCACTGGGTGTTCCTGACTATGAAGATGGTAATGTAATAGCATCCACACTGGAACATTTGAGTTCAAGAGAGTACCCTAAATCAGCTGTTGAAGAATACTTGTATTCATCAAACTCCAATGTGGACAAGAAAGCCATCAACGATGATGCCTCGAGAACTGCTAATGTTACTAACAGTACTTCAAAGAATTTACATTCTGCAACTGCTTCCGATTATATCAAAGGCGGGATATTAGACGAAACCACTACAGCCACTGGTACAACCAATACACAACCATCTACAAGTGCTACTAATACTAATACTACTACTGTTGTAGGTGAGGGTACTACTGGTGGTGGTGCTACTGGATTATTTTCATCGGCTCATGATGGAGTGTCTGCAAATGCCACTACCAAACACTCTGATTATGAGGAGGCAAACACATCTAGTGGTTCATATCATATGCCAGGCAGTTGGTCATAAGAAAACTCTAGCTGCTAGTCTTTTTTTGACTAGGCAGAGAGTACTTTTGAATTGTTTCATGCTTTTTGTTTTTTTTTTTTCAATCAAAAAAAAAGAAAGAGGAAACATTACATATATTGTTGACTGAATAAATCTTTTTAACATAAATAGTAAAAAAAGAAAAAAAATAATCCGATTAAATTATGAAATCTCACACTTCTCGAAAACCGTTATCTGTCAAACATATGTCACCATTTTTCTTTTCATTCTATCTTTTGTTTTTTTGGTGTTGTTTCTTGGTTTTGTTTTTCTTTTCTAATTATACAATCTTCTATCTAATTCACGTAACACATTTGCAACTGATTGTACCTCCACTTGCATTCCTCTCGTTGTTAATTTCCCAACCAAGGTGCTGAAGTCAACGCTATTAAACTTTTTATGTCTAGATAAAGTTTTATAAGCATCCGCACACGGTATAAACATGCTGCCACTAGTAGAAGAGCCTGGACTTGCTGCGTTGGAGGTAGATGTATTTTTGTAACTTCCAGTAGCAATTAATGGTGGGGGTATTGGACTTTGCGCGTTGTTGCTGTTTTCGTTCTTGTTTGTGGCAAAGCTTAACAGTAACATTGTTTTGGAACTGTTTCTAGATAAATTCGGCCGTATGGAAGAGTCATTGCTCTTGGAAGCAACAGTTGTACAGAATAAAGTTGACATTGGATCCATTTGACATTGCCTACAATTACCTGGGTTTCCTGTACACACGTTGTCTTCGGAATTATTGTCTTCTGGTTGGCTACTAGACGTTTGACCTTGGTTTTCTTCTTTCCTTCGTGGTATAACTGCTGGAACAGCACCAGGTGTAAGGTTAGTAATCTCCCTAATTTCAACCGAAGGACCAGGGTGCATCACTGGCAATGACGATTTATTTATATTATTACAATTCGAGTTATATTGTAAAGGAGGTAACGTTTTATCGCTTTCAAAATGCGTAGATTCTTCTTCTTCCATGATCATCTCATTCTCCAGCTCATTTAATGAAGCATTCAACCTTGCTGCTTCTTTTGCCGCTTCCTTACACACGCACGGAGTATCGTCAGAACAGAAACCACAATTCTCCACGGGCGAATTCTCATTAAATGTGTCTTGAGTTATGGGCGACTTCATTGTCATGGTCGGCGCCAACTCTGATAATGTGGTCTTCTTCAACTTCTTCAAGTCAGGCATGGGTCTTGGTTTGGAAACGAACTGTATTGTAAAATCAATCTCCTTTGGTTCCTCTTCATTCGTAGCTTTGCGTTTTCTTGGTAGTGATACTGCCGGTTCAGGTTGAAAAGATTTCAACTGTTCTGTCAACTCTTTTTCTAACTCGATTGCATTTTTGCTGCTGGATTCTTTCAAGCCAATAGACTCGCACAAACATTCTTCCTTAAGACAAATGCCGCAGTCAAACTCCAACGCTACTGTTGAGCCATTACCAACAGTTTGATCAAGTTTATTGGGCGTTGTATCACTAGAAAGCGGAGTCAACGTCTGGTTTGAAACTCCACTATTCTGATTCAGTGTATTCTGAGGAGACAGGTCCGCCGATGGGGCTGGTGAGATCTGTTGTAGTGAGTAGGATGACCCAGATGGAGAAATACTATTCTTGGCTGGGGAAGAATGACTGCTTATTGTTGTTTTAAGCTGATGTTGCTGCTGCTGCGAATGTTGACGGGAAATTAATGGATGCATACTGCTTGATTGGAATGGGCTAATCATATTCAGTACAGGCTCATCCTGCTGCGAATACTGTTTTTGTTTCTGTTGTTGTTGTTGTTGTTGTGGTGGTGGTGGTGGTGGTTGCAGTTGCAGTTGCAGTTGCAGTTGCATCTGCATCTGTGTTTTCATTTGCTCTTGGGTAGCTCTAAACATATTCATGTCTTGTCTAAGTTGATCTAGATTCCTTGACAAAAAATGGTTTTCCGCTTTCAATTTATTGATAGTGTTGAGTAATGCCATTTCTTTGATATCCTTTTCTTTCTCCACCTCCATTAGTTTCTGTTCCAACTCTTGAACTCTTGTAGCTCGTCTTTCCCTGAACGCTCTTTGCGCTGCTCGATTCTGAGCTTTTCTCTTTGAAGCAGGAGTATCAACACTCGGCTTTCTGCCCGGTTTGGGTCTTGGGGGCAACACCCATTCTTTAGACGTTACTATCAGTGTTGTCATATTGCTATTGGCGGGCCGGCTAAGAGTTTGATTGTTGTTCTCTATGCTTGGCGGAGAAGCTGGGTTAATGTTTTGAGGACTGCTTGCCACGCTGCGCGGAGTGGAGCCACTAGATAATGACGCCGAGGCACTTGCGATTGCAATAGAGGACTGTGTAGTCGAGTTTCTTGGTGCAATACTCGGACCCTTCGTGCTCATTTTGAACCGTCAAAAGGAAAAAAGTATGCGTTGAAAAGAGTGGTTATTCTTTTTTTTTTAATTCGTTTTCCTTTTTTTGTTAGAAGCTTTTACAATTTATTCTTCTCCTTACGAGTGGATTAGTGTGTAGTGGTGGCAGGTTGTTGGAATATGATTATTTCTACTAGTAAATAGTCTATAGGAAGAAGATAAAGCTGAGTAACAAGTTCTTTTCCTTTAAAAAAAAAAAGATAGTGAAAGATATCGTTTTTCAATCGAAAATTTTCATTGGCTATATATTGCCTAGTAAAATATCTATGTACAAAAATTACACTTTCGCTGATGAAAAAGATAAAAAAAAAAAGAGAACAAAAATTGCTCACAGTAACAGCTCATTTTTGTGTCAATATGCATCTCAGGTATCAATTTTGGTAATGTTAACCTAGTTGAATTATATAGAGTTAACTTACTGTACAGCCATATCTCCTCTTTTTTTTTTTTAAAGTGTGTTCCCTCGTAAGGACACGAAGTGAATGTTGCATTATATACCAAACCCAAGTTATAGTTGATAGAACTCTACACCAAAAGAATTTAGACTGAGAGAGCTGAAAAGTTTTTAAAATCGTTTCTCTTTTTCCTGTTTTCTTCACCCTTTCCTTTTTTTATTTTTTTTCTCTTGTCTTACTCTAGAGGATTAGTTTCAGTGGGACCCTGATTGAACAGACACAAGGGTTGATTTTCATCTTCATCCCAAACACTGTAATCATATAAGAGGGAAAAGAATTGTACTCTAAGTCACAGCCATGTTGTTTGCATCTTATTTTGATTGAATGATTTGTCGTCTTATCTGGGGTTAGAGAAATGTATCCGTCCATGCTTGTTTTGATATTACACTACCACATATTATTATGAGATAGTTGCTATATATTCGATAGGCAAGTAGGTTGCTTATTCTCTAGTGATTCCCACCATCTAAACAAGTGTTTTTGTCTTTTCCCCGTGGAAATCTAGCAGGTTTTTCGATTAAAAAAAAAAAAAAAAAAAAAAGCAACTTTTGAATTTAAATGCCGAGTCCGGATCAGATAAATAAAAGAAAGTGACAAGTTATTATTTGCTTAGTTCCACGCCGCACTCTATTCTTCTTAAATTTTTTTTTTGTTAGATTTTTACCTTATACCTTTTATGGAAGTTGAGTGAATGTGTGTCCCAAGACATGGTCATTAAATGTAAACTGCCATTTCTGGAACAAAGTTGGAAAAAGATCAATGTAACAGCGACACACAAACATATATATATATATATATATATGCATACATCAAAAGAAATTCCTAAACAGAGATTAATTTTCTTTTTGTACAGAGCAGGGACTCTTTTTCTTCTTCTTCTTCTTCTTCTTCTTCTTCTTCTTCTTTCTTCTACTTTTTTATATATATACACACGAGAAAGTAAAACAAAGGCTGATATCTTCAAACAGAAATTAAAAGATGTTTCAACAAGGGCAAAAAATGAATCTCCAATTGTTTATTATTTAGTAGCTTCCTTCTTTTGTTTTTCAGCTTCTTCGGCAGCTCTTTGTTGTTGCACTTTTGCAATTTCTTCGGGATTAGGTGCACCTTCAGTAATCAACTTGTTCAAAGTCAATTTACCAAATTCATCTTTCAATTTTTGCTCTTCTTCTAAAAATTTAGAAGCATTTTCTTGCAAATACTTTTGAAAATGTTGATATTGCAATTGGCCATGTTCTCTAATTATATCAAGAGGCATTTTCTGTTCAGGCACTGGCATTCCCAAAAATTTGGCTAAAAAGTTTCCTGCATTGGGTCTATCCCTATTTCCATGTTCCTTGTTCCATTGTCGTCTCAATTCCCTTTCACGTTCACCAAACTCCTCGACTATATTGGACTTGTCTTTGAACGTATTCAAGATTGGGCGAACGTCTTTAACTGGTTGAGTCGCAAGGTACTCCAAAAATGGTATCATACGAATAAGATAGTCATCAGGTTTACCATCCCATTTCTTAACAATGATGGCATTTTGAGGCTGTAAGGAACATGAATCTTCATCAACATCAATCAAAATCGTTTTGCCTAAATCTCTATTCAACAATGACAAATCTTTGATGATTTTGCCATCTTTATAACGACATGCTTCCCTAAATAATGCATATGATATATATGCATGATAAGGATCTAATTTACTAACCATTTTCTCTGAATAAAACTGCGAGTTGGTGCAAAACAATACAATTTCATAGTACTGTGATAAGTAGCCCAAAAAGTAGTCTAACCCAGGTCTCTTTCCTGTCCTCCATCCGTGTTGGGTGTCCCAATCTGAATGGATCAATAAGTCGTCTAACGTTAATACCAAAGTTAATGGACGACGATACTGTTCTGGCGCTGGTGGTGGTAGTAAATTTTCAAATGCCGGTTCCGAAAAAAATGTAAACAAGGATCCTAGTCTTTTACAAAGTCTTTCATACATCAATGTTGGTGCATATCCATTACCAATATTCGTAGCATCCATCTCTTCTTGCTCCTTTACTGAATCCCAGTTTCTACTCATGTATCCCAATCCAACTGCTGCTCCAGCAAAAGTAGCCAAATAAAAGATGTTTGCGTATTTCTCACGTTGCCTATCTTTAGAAGTTTGTGCTCTTCTTCTTTTCTTGGATCCCGGAGAAGAAGAAGATGATGATGATGACGAAGACGAAGACGTGGAGGACTCTTCTTCTTCAAATGATCCCTTCTCCTCCTGCTTTGCAAAAGACTCCTTTTTTGGGTCTACGTCTTCAAATCCGGCCCTAGCTAGCATCTCATCATTCAAAATGGACTCTGTTTTTTCATCTTGGGTCTTGTCAGCTGACAGTTTCTTTGATGATGGTGCTGAGTAAAATCTCAAAGAGTGGAATAAACGCTGTTTTGGTAGAAGAACGCGAGATACGGTAGCCAGTAAAGGCTTGTGAGCGCCTCTTATTGCACTATTAATAAGTACATTTGCAGAGCGACTTAGCATCTTGAAATCTATTACAGTTCCCACACGCTTTGATAATCTATTGAGATTTGGTTGAAAAATTTACAAAAGACTTTGATGCTTTTAATTTTTTTTTTTTCAGGTTCAATTGCCACTACCCTACAAAAAAAAAACTACTACTACTACTACTACTACTACTACTACTACTACTACTACTACTATTAATATTATTATTATTACAGTGATTGTGTGTTCAAGACCCTCACTCAACTGCTGGCGGCTTGTTACTCACAATTGAAATGTTCAAAGTGATGAAATATGAGTTTGGGTTACTTAGCAATTTAAGTAGGAGACGGTTGTTTTATCTGGGTTCAGTACGTCATATTTCGTTTAAATTACCTAGCATTGGAAAAGCGTTAACAGAGGCAAAGAGAATTGATGAGAAATATGAATCTTTAGGTAATAGTCCAACTAAGGTCAAGGTTGAGCAAGTAATAAAAGCAGTGGACGGTGTACCCGAGCTACTATACCAATTGAATTTTTTCTTTTATGAATGTAAAAGGATTGGTATTTTACATGATAATGCAGAGAACCGGAGACGTTGTATACGGTATTGGCCTGTTTTCATTTTCAAACTAATACCTTTGAATAATGCATTTTGGGATATTTGTTATTCAATGGAGAAAGCCGACCATCGTCATCGCATAAATCCTTTTAAAATCGCTGATATTGGCCTACTAGATCCCAAGAACTTCCCACAAGATTTTGTACAACAGTTGGCTACTGGGTTTTATAATGGAGTTGATTTTCGGGACGCAATCGCATTTGCAATATCGGGCCCAAAATTTGATAGTATGGTGAAAAAACCATAAGCACTTTTCACTTTTACTTTTATTGCCAGGGTCCAATTTTTTTTTTAGAACAAATAAAGAAAGAAAGAAAAGAGTAGAGAGAGTCGAGAGCAGAGCGAGATAGTCGAGAGAGTCGAGAGCAGACAGATACTAGTCGAGAGAGTCGAGAGCAGACAGATACTAGTCGAAGAGAGTAGGGGTATAGACTAGATAGACTATCGAGCAAAGAGATACTATTCGAGAGAGAGAAGAGGGCGGGACTATTGATCAAAGCGAGTTTAGTCGATAGAACACAGTAAGAAGAGAGAGAAGAGAGAGAAGAGTAGAGTAGAGACTCGTTTCACTCGTCTAGTCTAGAGTAGAGAGGAGACAGAGACTAAAGACATAGACTGACTGTGCTAGACAGTGTAGAGTAGACTCGTATTGCTTGATTGTCGAAGAGGCGATACCGAGACTAGAGACTAGACTATCGAGAGAACAAATTGTAGTTATTAGAGAGAGAACAGAATATACTTTCCAGGCATAAGCAGAGCGAGGTAGTTTATAGATGGAGCTATAGAAAAAGTAGAACATAGTTGTAGTCTATAGAGACTACATAGAGACTGCAGTATATATAGACTATCTCGCTCTGCTCTCTAGTTTCTTGTCTACCCTTCTCTCTCCCTATTCGACTAGAAACTTTCGAGCAGAGCGAGATAGTCGAAAGAAAGTAGAGTAGAAAGTAGAGGGGAGAGCAGAGATGGAGACATAGAAAGAAGATAGACTAGAGACTAGACGAGCGAAGCGAGTCTAGTCGAGAAGAGTAGAGAGAGTACAGTAGAGACTAGACGAGTGAAACGGGTCTGGTCGAGAGAGAGTAGAGTAGAGAGTAGAGTCTAGAAAGAGTAGAGTCTAGAAAGAGTAGAGTCTAGAGAAGAGGAGAGTGTAGAGGGAGAGGAGAGTGTAGTAGGTAGATTAGAGAGAGAAGAGAAGGTAGAGAGGAGCAGAGAGAGTGGAGTAGAGCAAGAGAGTGGAGTAGAGCAAGAGAGTGGTAAGTAGAGTAGAGAGTAGATATACTATCTCGCTCTGCTGGGTAGTCTTCTCACTTTGCTCCGCAGTGTAGAGAGTAGAGAGTAGGGACTAGAGAATAGATATAGAGATAAGTTTCTAGACTACCTCGCTCTGCTCGATAGTAGATAGAACAACACTATTGACACTATCGAGCAGAGCGAGATAGTGTCGCTTCTCACTCTGCTCTATAGTCTAGAAAGTAGTTTATAGTTTATTCTACTATATCATCCTATTTAGTGAGTAAAAGAGTTTGGGTCTGTGACTTCTCACTATCTCGTTCCTCAATAGTGAGTAGTGGCTCATTGAAGTTTGATGATACCCCCCCTGATCAACATTTCTATCTTCCTCCTCACCTCCTCATTCTTCATATGCTCCTTCAAAGCATTAGGGTCGTCCTTGATTTGCTGAAGGATGCTCTGCATAATGGGGTCAGACAAGATAGCCATGACCTGGTCGGGCGAGGCAGAGGTGTGGCATTGATAGAGGAGACGATCTATCTCATTCAAATTCGAAGCATTTGATTGAGGTGGGGGGTTAGTAGGGACAGTGGAGTCAGTAAAGCCACTCTCCTTACTTTCATTCAAATGTTCTGCATTTGAATGAGTAGTAGCAAGTTGCTTTCCAAGCTGCAACACCTTCTCTGCCTCCCCGTACCTCTTCAACCTCACCAATGCCTCTCCCTTCTTGATATACCCCTTGATATACCCTGGGTCCACCTCTATAGCCTTGGTACAGTCTCTGACTGCACCTTCGTACTCGACCATCTTCATCAAACACACGGCCCTGTTCACATACCCTCTAGGGTCATGTGGGTTCCTTTTGATCATCTCACTATACGCCTTCACGGCGGAAGCATAGTCTGCGGCAAGAAAGTACTCCCTCCCTAAAACCCTCGCCTCCTCTGCTTTATCTACATTGATGTACTCTTTTTCCTCCTTTTCTCTCTTTTCCTTTTGTGTTTGGCGCAACTCACCCAACACAGTGGGTGTTCTGTGCTCGGTAAGAGCCTTTTCATAGCACTCTATAGCCCCACCTAGATCTCCGGTGGCCTTTTTAGCCTTTGCCATTCTGGCAAAGGCCTTTGCTGTGTCTTGGTACAGTGCGTTGAGGTCTCTTGCCTTCTCTATAGCATTAGCACAAGTGCTAATGCAAGCAGAGTAGTCTTTGGATTCGTACTCTGCGGCAGCTCTATTGAGAAGGTACTTGATATTCGGAGAGAGTGAATATGCCTGGTTGTAGAGAGAGATGGATTGGGAAAAGTTGCGGAGGTGGTACTCATGGTTGCCAGCTTGCTTTAATTCCTCAGCAGAGGCTGGCGCCTCTGCTGAGGATGTGGATGGAGATATCTTCTCAGTAGAGCTTTGCTCTGCTTTAGTTGGTGTGTCTTGACTCATGGAATGTTGAAGAACAAGTAAATTTTCTTGCTCGCTTTGCGAGCTAGTATTTATAGGTGCCGAAAAAAGATACAACACTATAAACAGTATAAGAAAATACATGAGTACCTATATATAAGATTATTCTTTTTAAATGGAAAAAAAAAAAGTGTAGATATCGACAATATTTATGGTTTGGGGATCTTTAAAGATTTAGAGATGTTTGCACATCCTTGTAATACGAACCCAATGGCTACTAAATGGAACTCAAACGGTGTTCCTTTGAAAATAACACCCAAAGGCAAGTCCTTGTGTATCCAATTTTTGTAGACCAACAACGCCATAAATGCAACCCAGAATAAATTACTAGGGATAGGCAAGCCTTCAAAGTACTGAGATTTCCCACTTTTATCCTTTGGGATGTTATTCACTGAGATATTGAACCTTGCTAATCTGGTCAACCCGCAAAGAACCCAGAATGTCAATAACAAGACGTCGACTGTAGACCGAAAGCCAATGGCAAATGCAATTGTTGCAGGGCCAACACCAAAACTTATCAAATCAGCCAAAGAATCCAATTCTTGTCCCATTAATGACGATTTGTTTCTTAATCTAGCAACTCTTCCATCGAAAAAATCAAAAAATAGACCCAACACTATGAAAAAATGTGCTCTTTGTACATAGGTTGAGTTCCCGGTTAATGTATACCTCAAACAAGATATGATAGCGTAGAATCCACTGAACCCATTAAGTAAAGTTATAAAGTCTGCCATATGAAGGTTTCTGATCAAACTAAAGTGTCTATCATCATTGATGAATTTCAAATATTCAACTTGTTCTGGCTTGGGGATATCTTCTTTTGAAGAGAGAGAAAATAAAGAAGATGACCTTCTCAAGGGTTTGTGTGTCTCTATACTTTTGTCAATGACATCTGTTTCTGAATCTGATGCAATTGCTGAAGACCCTTCGTGAAAATTGCCCTTGTATCCAGTAGTAGATGCCATTTTTCACACGATGAAGAAAAACTAAGTTGTTGGCGTTAGTGGCGATTAGTATTTTATTTTTTTTAATTCACCATAAAAAGGGAGATGGCGATAATTTACGCGACACAATCGAGCAATTCTATCGAGCAACACTATCGAGTAACACTATCGAGCAGAGCGAGATAGTGTTGTAACAAGCTACAAAGTATATAGACACTCTCGAGCAGAGCGAGATAGATTTGTAACAGGCTACAAAGTATATAGGTGTAACAGGCTACAAAGTATATAGGTGTAACAGGCTACAAAGTATATAGGTGTAACAGGCTACAAAGTATATAGGTGTAACAGGCTACAAAGTATATAGGTGTAACAGGCTACAAAGTATATAGGTGTAACAGGCTACAAAGTATATAGGTGTATATTCTATATATATTTAGCAATAACCCTGTAGCTAAAATGAATGGATTGCTATGATGCTCTACTGTTGGCAATATGAAATTGAGAATATGTTATACATCATACATATTTCTTGAACTATATATAAAGATATATGCAGAAATTCAGGGAGAGTTTTAATAAAACACATCACAATGTAAAGCTCTATGCAAATATATCTGAGAGTATATTTTTACTCTAAATGAAGGATAAATCAAACAAACTATTTCCAATCTTTTTAGTTGACATGGAAAAAATCAAATTAGATTTTTTGAATGTGACAAATACAACCACACTATTGAGCGAAGCGAGATACTGTATACTACACTACCCTACTCTACTTTAATAGTCTGTGGTGGCAGCTAGTGTGCTCCACTATCGAGCAGAGCGAGATAGTGTTAAGAGCTCGATAGAGTCAATAGTGTTTAAAGCTCAATAGTGTCAATAGTGTTAAGAGCTCGATAGAGTCAATAGTGTTAAGAGCTCGATAGTGTCGATAGTGTCGGTAGTATCGATATTGTTAAGAGCTAGTGTACTCCACTATCTCGCTCTGCTCGATAGTGTCGATCGATAGTGTCGATATTGTTAAGAGCTAGTGTACTCCACTATCTCGCTCTGCTGGATAGTGTCGATCGATAGTGTCGAGTAAAATTAGATTACTTTAGATGTTACTCTAGAAATTACACCAAATATACTACTTTAATGTAAATTTTTCTAGTCCTCATAATTTACAACCTTTACATACAAATTACACATGAGTTTGATTGCACATTTAGATTACACCACGGTCGACTCTTAGTGTTAAGAGCTAGTGTACTCCATTATCTGGCTCTGCTCGATAGTGTAAAGCCAGTGAACCGTACCGTACCAGCTTTCCACTTCAACAATGAAACATAGATGAAGCGAGTTTACTTGATGCAAGGGTTCAAACGCGTAACCTAGATTATGTACTGCACATTATCAATATTTTTGTTATTATCAAACTCTTGTCTCAATTCTTAATCCTCAATTCCTTTCTTTCTTTTTTTATTTTTTTTTAATTTTTTTTTTGTATTTTACAACCACAGATCGATGAATGTTATGTGTACAGGTTGAAACGGCACAATCACTATCTAAAACTAGCCCAGAATTAGCCAGAATTAGCAAGAGAAAAGGGAGCATATATTTATCATCATGGTGGTTGGTGAATCAAGAACAGAGCTTCTACAGTGGATTAACTCGGTTTTAGGTTTGAACTATACCAAGATAGAACAATGTGGTACAGGCGCCGTATTTTGTCAGTTGATGGACTCAATTGTTGGAGGAGTACCTCTCAATAAAGTCAAATTTAACTCCAAGTCCGACTATGATTGTCGTCGCAACTGGAAAGTGTTGCAGCAAGAATTCACAAAGCACAATATTACCAAGGATATGGATGTCGAAAGGTTATTGAAATGTCGGTTACAGGATAATTTGGAGTTGTTGCAATGGTTCAAAAGATACTGGAACGAGAAGAAAGATGCCAATACATACTATGATGCCGCAGGTAAACGGAAAATATGCAGTAGTAGTCTGAGTCCCCATCAAACTTTGAAAGTTACACCAAATGGTACTATGAAACAATCTAATGTTCCGCTTGCACCTCAGCAACAAAATATTTCAAATCCGGTAAATTATCCAGATAACAGTAGCAACAACAACAGTTGCCAAAATAGTCCAATAAATGGTAGTAACTATACTCCAAATGATGTCTTGTCATCAAACTATTCAAGCTCAAATATATCGAATCGTGTTAGACCCAGAAAATTAACAACGCCGGCTACATCTAGAGTCACAACTCCAGTGAATCACAAACCGAGAAATCCTTCCTCTGAAAGTAGAGATAAAAGGTTTTCCTTGGCCAATAATGACTCGGCTACAATAAATCGTGTGTCGATGAAAGAACAACAGCAACAACTACAAGAACAGCAACAACAGCAACAACAGCAACAACAGCAACAACAGCAACAACAGCAGCAACAACAACAACAACAACAACAACAACAATTTTCCCATCAAGCCGAAAATAATCATTTGTCTCAGTTTACTAATTCGGCCTTCACTTCCAACGATTCATCTGCAGGTCTCGTCAATCTCAATAACGGGGGTGCTCATCATACTAGCGAAGCAAAGGATATCGAATTGTTATTCGAAGAAAATGAAAATCTAAAGATGCTGCTTAACGAAATGAAAATTTCTTGTGATAGTTTACAAACAGAACGTAATTTTTACTTTAACAAGCTTCGTGATATTGAATTGTTAATACAAAACTTACAAAGCGACCCAGAAATTTTGAATAAAATGGATGTTATTTCATTATCCGACCTGATTGAAAAATTGCTATATAAAACAGAAGAGGGATTTGGTGATCAAACCGAGAACGCAGAGGTGATGATCTTAGATACTGAGTCATTTTGACAAAACCAAAAAGAATCCCAGAAATCTTTTTTTTTTTTTTTATTCTTTTCTAAATACATTTTGGTTTTGTAGATTTCAATAAGTTGTCTTTTTGAAAGTAAAGAAATATATTGCATTTAATTTGATTGTTGAAAGAATTGTGAATCCGTTAAATCGTTCTACTCTATGCATTATGATGCATAATTGCTTAATCACATCAAAAAAAATGGTCGATGCTTGGGGATACCTTTTTTTTTTTTTTTTTTTGACACCAAGCATCGAAGTTTCTTACGAAAAAAAAGTCTATCCAGGCGAAAATGCTAGTAGTTGTCCAACTCTGGTATGCAAGCCCTGGAATATGCTTATGATTCAACTAATATATCTCTATCAAATAACTTTTTTGTGTTATTTATCAAGGCACTCTGGTTTTTGCGCAATTTCAGAAAACTTAGTGCCATAAAATGGGGACATATGGAAAATCGCTCAAAGTGCTAGAATTATATACTGGAGTTCAACAAAGTATACTGGAGTTCAACAATTTTCACTATATTTGTCCTAAACATCAAATACAGGTGTCCTGAAAAAAAGAATTAGATTTAAACTTGAACAATTATAACTTACCCGCTCCCATTCCCTGAGATTCGTCATATTCCATAGATTTGTTGTGTTATGTACTTTAAATCCAATCAAAATGGTATGCTCTAAACGCCCTTTTTTTCATATTTCTTACTCTTGTAGGCCTATTGCAAAATTGTCTGCAACCAATACTAAAAAAAAAAAAAAAAAAAAAAAAAAAAAAAAAAAAAAAAAAAAAATAAAAAAAAAAAAAAAAAAAAAAAAAAAAAAAAAAAAA